GTTAAGTTATAGCCCATAATTTTATGAAAAGTAGGTCATGTGATGGCTTAGCTGCAAAGGGCCTATTACTGCCAGATTGCTTGTGAGTCCAAGCTCAATTATTTTTGACCAGATAATAATATATAAAATCTCTGAATCTGTCTGTGCTTTCAATTACATAATGTTTGCCAGGGTCAACCTGGCTTGGTACATGTGACTCTACATGACTTGTACAGGTCTATATGAAAGGACTCCTTGTGTTAACTATTTTTACAAGTACATGCATGTATAGCTATGTTGTAGTCTTATTCTTAATTAACCTTTCGTTTCTCTCAATTGCAGTTGAATTTCAGCACTATATAATCGCTTCAAAGTCTCTAAGAAAGGTATATTGAACTTGATTTTGAAATGTTCAATGGTAATATTAGTAAACAGCTTTGGTCACAGTATTGCATTTTGGGCACGTTCATCTTAGAAAATAATTATCGCAATAATTCAGTATGTGATTTCCAAGGTTAGGAGTGGAAGTGGTAAATTTCAGACTTCACAAGTCAAATGTATTTTCTGTCAGTGCAAGATTCTCTTAGCATTTCAAAAGAAATTGAGACTGAGAAGGCATCATGAAAAAATTTGCGATGATGAGACCTCCATGTTAGACACAGTCATAAATTTTGAATGACTTTTTGTCACCCCTAAGATTACGTGTACATGTGCCTTTCATTCTTGATCTGTTCTAAGTCTATTTTTTTGTCGGCCTTTCACACTTTACATTATCTAACTAGCCATCTAACTGAAAAAATTAAATACTTCTATGAAATAGCAAGTGTACTTACTTTTGTATGGAATTACTCAACAACAGTCATATCATTGTCAGTAGAAATTGCTTTCATTCATGTTATGTCCACATTTTTGTCTTGTCGCTAGGTTTTTCTTTCAATAAAAGGAGTATATTTTCAAGCTGAAATTCAAGAGCAACCCGTGACATGGATTGTACCATACCAGTTTTGTCAAGAGGTATAACCATTGCTTGTCCCTGTTCTGTTCCACTTTGTAGCTTATTTTTTATTAGAAAACCTGACCAGGGTTGCAACTAAGATTTGAGGCATGGAAAAATATCTACATTATTGGTGGGCATTAGCAGGGGTCTCATTAAGAGCTGGGAACCATGCAAATTGACTGGCTGTGAGGATGATTTTGCCTGCCTGGTTTGACCATCTAGAGGAAAGCTCTTCTTGCAAGGAAAATCAGTCAAAAAAGTTTTGCTAACCTGTGAAAACAGGTCGTCATTTTGCTGAAAATGTCAATGAAACCCTTGGGTACTGGTCCAAAAAACAGTTTCATAACTTTTCTAGTAGTTCCAAGTTGAAAATCCTTGGGCAAAGTGAAATAATTTGTTTCCATAATTTTCTCACAGCCACCATCTGATGTTGACTTTCGAGTGATGCTTACTTTTGTGGAGTTCTACACCACCATGATAGGCTTTGTGAATTTCAAATTGTTCAACATGTTGAACTTACACTACCCCCCAAAGGTGAGTACATGTAGGTAAATGAATAGTGGGTGTCAAAATAGTAAATTATTCCAGGGTTGCCACGGTCAGGGAAAAGTCAGAGAAAATTAGATTTTATTCAAAGTCAGGGAAAAGTCAGGGAATTTTGTATCAGGTCAGGGAATTTCTAAATCCCTGTTCAAAGTCAGTGAAAAGTCAGGAAAGTTGATCTTAAGGTTGCCGCAAATTATTTTATTAATAAAATGTTTTTGTATAGATAAGGCAATTTTGTTTCAAAAATTATCTGAGCCGTCCTTATTTTTGTTGATTGATAGCCAGTAAAGTCATCCCGCAGGGTCAGTGAAAATTGCTTTACAGTCAGTGAAAAGTCAGGGATTATTTTTTGTTCTAGTGGATGGCAACCCTGTATTTGATGAATCCCACAGTTAAGTTAATTACATCAATTGTTTGTATCACTGCTGTTATCCTCATACTACTGTACTCCCACTGCTTTGCAGAGCCAGAACCCTTGTTTTATATCTTGTTTTCCTGATTTGCAGCTTGCTGGTGAATACAATAATACAAACAGTGCAGGCTATTGTGAAGAGTCAGAATTGGAAGATGAGGTTAGGTGTAATTGTACAGGAAACATTCAATATACTGACTTAGAAAAAGGTCTGGATTGGCATTAAGCCAGTTATGTCCCTGTAAGAACTGGGAAGGCATTATTGATATTATTTTAATATATAGATTTAGGCCAGCCTAAAAGCATAGCTCCTGGGACAGGTTGTTCAGAGCCTGAATAAGCTAACCCAGGAAAAGGTAGAATTTTGATTTGAGTTTTGTAACTTTGCTGAGAGGTTTTCTGTATATTGTTTGGCCTTCTGTTTTGAGTTTTAATAATCACCATATACACAATATGAAGCAGCAAAAAACATTTGTATAGAAGAAAAAGTTATAACTCAGTTAACTTTTAATCCTGGGTTAACGTTAACCGGCTTCTGAACAATCCTACCCTGTTTTCAACAAGTTAACCTGATATGACCCCATGATCCAATCGAAAACCAGCACTTGGTCAGCGGTCAACTTCAAAGAAACATGTGACCTTGATGAGCTGTAAACTTGAGCCGGCGATCTGGTCACGTGATACTGGTCGGCGGATACCTTGTTTTGACAGGCGTCAATTGATCATAACATGGATGTCCAATATCAAAGAACTACACGGTAAACCAAAGCTGCATGTCTCTGTCAACTCATTATTTGCTGCCATGTCATGTGACTCTGTCATCGCAATCGCCATTGTACGTACGCGCCCACGAAAAATACCGCTAGCCATGATAACCATGAGAAAATCAACTCATGGGTTTCCTTTTCTTTCCTATATGAGTGTGGGGCTCCGCTATTATATATCAAGGTCAGTCTAGTCAAGCAACACTGAGGAATAATGCCCCTTGGTCATTTTTGTACTGACCTTGCTACACTTGATCCATACTGCCACAACCTTGGGTCCATATTCCCCAGTGCAGACCCTCGCACTCTTGCCATGTGCCTTCTCAAGTTACATGTATCATGCCTGGTTCCTTGATAACTATAATATTGTCATATGAATATGTTTTTTCTTGTGTTTAACTCTGCAGGTGCTCTCTGCTCTAAATCAAAACTTAGCAGTCACAGGTAAGCATGCTGACATACTTGTATTGTAAGTTCACAGAATGAAAGGAAATGCTAACATGAAAATTGTCTATTTCTTGCCAACAGTACAGGAAGATGAAGTAGAAGTGGATGACTTTCCTGTTGATCCTGATGTAAGTTACAAGCTACATGTAATTCTTTGTTATGAAATACAATTTTAAAGGTCATATGCAACGTTAGAAACAGGAAGAAATCTGGGGTGAGTCTCACTTCACGGTTACTTGCGAGACCATTACTAGGGAGAAAACAAAAGATGGCAAGCCATGTAGTTTTCAGAAATGATCCAGGTAACATATCCATATGGATACGATCATGTTCTAGTGACTTGTCAAGCACTCTGCCCCAATGAAGGGGAGACGAAAGATTGCATACCAAACCCAAAGAGTATCTGTGTAAGAGGCTACAATATCCATGAGCCAGTGTAAGATACGAATCACTCCAGATTTCTTCTAATTTCTAAAGTGGTGAATTGTATGTCAAAAGCTTTTACTTTTTGCTCTTTTCATCACCATGAAGAAGAACAGTATTTTTCCATGCCCTAACCATATTGAAAATCTTGTGACTTCAATATTATCAGCAACTGTTTTTACACAAATATTTTGTAGCTGTTCATATAGTGTACACTTACTAAGTAAACTTAAACCATATTTTTTTTTAATGTGAACTGTTTTTTTTTTACAACAGAGTGAAGATGCCAAAGCACAGGAAGCTAGCAGGAAAGAGTTTCAAGAAACAGAAAAACTAAAAAACTTATTTTCAGATTGCAAGGTGTTTCTTTCCAGAGAGGTTCCAAGAGAGATTCTTGTATTTGTCATCAGGTATGCAGTTTCTTCAGGCTGTTTCTAATTTGTGAGCAGGGTTGGCGCAGTGGTGAGAGTGCTCGCCTCCCACCAATGTGTCCCGGGTTTGATTCCCAGCTCTACCCGGGGTCATGTGGGTTGAGTTTGTTGTTGGTTCCCTTCCTAGCCCCGAGAGGTTTTTCTCCGGGTACTCCGGTTTTCCCCTCTCCTCAAAAACCAACATTTCCAAGTTCCAATTTGATCCTGATTATTGTCAAGCACTTTATCATGAGCCTCTGGCTCAGGTGATTGTGCAAGCACTCCCAGTGTTTGACATTAAATTTGCATTACATTTTTTTGTGGTTTCAAGTAATATTCTTACGCATCTCGTGGAAGGTAGTTAGAAGATTACAAGGGGTGGGGGTTCTGAAAAGCCAAAACTTTTAAGGAAAGGATGAAGATAAACTGGAATTTCTATAGCCAGGGGGGAAGGGGGGGCTCAAACCAAGAAAACTCTTTGTGGAGTTGTGTGGGCATTTTCAAAAATGGCACAATGTAGTGTTTATTTTTAAAGTATACTGGTTTAACACTCCTCCCCCCTCGCCAGTGGTTTCAGTAACGTTCTCAGCAGGAAGGCAACTGGTTTTTACAGGAGGGCAAAACTTTTTGAACTGAGCTTCAAGAAAAACTTCCTTCTAGATGGTCAAACTAGCCGGGAGAAATTGTCCTCACAGTTCATCAATTTGCCCGGTGCCCCACCCTTATTGAAACTCCTGTCTTCCACTCCCCTTCCTAGCTGACGCTGTTAAACGCTCTTTTGTTGTTGTCAGGTGTTTTGGAGGTGAAGTTTCTTGGCACAGTACTGATGCCATAGGAGCTACTTTTGATGAAAGCAGTGAATCAATAACTCATCAGATAGTAGACAGACCAGCTCAGGGACACAGATATCTATCCAGGTAAGTAATGGATCAGCGGCTTTTGACACGCAATGTACCTCGATTCTATGAGAAATGAACTGGTTTTACATTTGAGGCAAACTTGTAGCTGGCTTTCAAAACTCGAGGAAAAAGTCAAAAGAAACGGTCAAAACTGAACATGTTTAGAAGAGACCAGGTTGAACTGAAATTGATATCTGCCCTTCATGCAATATATCAAATACAAGAGACAGTGTTTCATCATGATATCCAAACACCATAAGTATTTTTCACGAAATTGGAGGTGTTTGGATAGCCAATGAAACACTGTCTCGAGTGTTTGATATATCTTCTCAATCGAAACAAAAACTAAGGAGTGAACGGAGAAGTAAAATCGTCAAAATTTTCTATGCTAATTAAGACTGGGTATCCAAACCTCCTTCAAGGTTGTGGTTTCCTTTGTTTTAATTTGATGAATTATTAATGAGTTTGAGAACTAAAGATCAAGTTGGCCAAAAAAATGTATGAAGATGGCCAGTTCCCCTGAAGGAAAATTTGCAGAGTTAAAGAGTTAAAAACTACATGGTAAGCTTGCGTGAAACATAGAACATTACTTCACAGATGATAGGAATTATGGAAGTGACAATGAATGAGCCAGCAACGTAAAAACGTAGTAACAATGTTTGTAAGTTTGGCTCAGAGAGTCCTTCGAAATTTTGCAAAAATGTTTCCAAAAAATATACTTTGTTGGGAACTGCCTCCTAGAAGAGATAGTAACTTGAAATTTTCTAGACTCTTTTAAATCCAATGTGTCAGCGTTTCATAAGCTAAAGCTATGTTATTTTATTATTTTAGATGCCTTATTTTAAATAGTTATTTTTACGAATCGTTTTTATTTTTTGTAAAAACAATTTTGCTATAGTTGGTGTGATGTCTTAAGACTTTTTACTGATCTAACTCATGTAGATGTAAATTTAAGGGGGATTCTGTTTAAGCTTTCCCGCAAATTTTGACATCCTACAGGTATTACATCCAGCCCCAGTGGGTGTTTGACTGTGTGAATCACCACAAGCTCCTCCCTGTCGAAGATTACTTCCCAGGGGTTGAGCTTCCTCCGCACCTGTCACCGTTTGTTCAAGAGGAAGAAGGTGATTACGTTCCTCCCGAGAGACAAGCCATGCTGGAAGAACAGAAACAGGCAGGAAGAGACAGCGAGATAGAGGAGGAGGAAGAGGAGGAGGAAGGTGAGAAAGTCATCAGGGGTTTCTCTGTCCATCGCTAAACACCAGATTAGAGATAACGTAACTACAACCTTGGTCACAAGGGTTGGACAACGTCATTGTATACACATGTTGCCCCTCCCCACCCCTGTGCAATGTTGACGAAAAACTTTCATCTACCACAAGTTTGCATTTTACCATTTTCCATCATTGAAAGGGGGAATGGGGGTGCCGACACTTATTCCGTAGGTATTATGGTCGTAATTTTTTGTTTTTGCGCTTTTTCCAACACAATTTGTCCATGGTTGAAGCTTGATTCAATTCAGCATCTACTTGTGGAGGATGGATACACTACTGTTTAATAAACGGAAACAGTGAAAAGCGAAAAAAATCAGGAAAACGATAACAGTAGTGAGTTCGCATCGGAGAAGAGAAAAAGAAACCAGATAGACGATTCCCTCTTGTCATTCTTTTATTTACTTCCAATCCTTTAAGCTTGTCTCTATGTTGCCTTCAGTTGCTGGTATACACCACACTTGCCGTCTTTTGAAAAATAACAGCTTGAGTGTTCATTAGCCGGAATAGAGGTCGGTCAGTTGATGAAAAAAATGACGAAATTTTATGTCGAAAGGAAAGGTTTGAACTCAGGCTACACGTACTGATTTTATTTTTATTTTTTTCTGAGGGACGCCAGGTGAAGAACTAAGTAAAGAGGAAAAGAACTTAGCGATAATGGCCATGAAAAAGAAAGACAAACGGCTATACGACCGTATTATGCATTCCAAGAAGAAAAAGAGATCAGAGGTAAACTACTTTTTTGGTTTGCTTTGTGTTTTTTTATTTAAACAATGTCACGATATCTGAGTTACTGTAGTTTATAACCTACAGTTAAACATAGGGGAAAATCACTTTTATGCCGCGGCTGCATGACCAGCTATGTAACTACATTGTTATACCCAGGTTGTACAGGTCATACAGTAGAAGTCTTCTATGGAAAGCAGCATGTTTCAGGCGTTCAGTTTCACTAGCGCATAAGCATAACAACATGCGTATACGCCGAAAGCCGCTAATAATTGGAGATCAAATGAAGCCGTTTGGTCCGACCAGAAAATTTCCGGCAAACAAGGAGCACTTTTCAAGGTACTCCAGTTTGACTGATCCAACCAGTCAGTCGGAAATTTGCCGTTCCATTTTGAGAAACCGGTTCGTTGCCCTACTTCTCTTCATTAAATTTTCTTTTCGGTAGGAGATTAGGGAAAGGGAGGCGCGGTGGCCTCATGGTTAGTGCGCTCGTCTCCGGATCGATCGTAGAAATACTCCTAGTCGCTTCATGCTACAGAAACCGGGATAAGCTCCGGCCTGATGGGCCACTTGGCTCGTAAGCAGACTTTACCTTTTTTTTAGGAGATTAGGGAAAGGAGCAGAAAATNCTAGAGGAATATAACACTGAACAAACATGGCGAATGAGCCTCCCTTGTTACGGTTAAGGAAGAAGAGGTAGTCCTTTTTGCCAATTTACCTAAGGTGCGAGAGGTTTCATTTCACTTACGACCTCTCTGTCGAGCATATCCTTTGACGGAATTCCTTGTATTATTCTCTGTGTAGGGCGCAGTCATAGGCCAGGGAGGGGGAGGGGAAGGACTCCAAGTCTATATTTAGTTGTCGCTAAAAAAATTGCTATTACGTATACCAGTGGAAGTTATTACCATGTTGGTTGTGGTTGCCGAATGTGGTCTCCTGTTAGCGTGGGGTAGAGGGGTACCTTTGCAGTGAAATGCTACTGGCATCTGAGAAAGAGAAGTCATAAAATGAGCAGTTAGGTGATACATAGAACACAGACAATAAAACAATGGACCGGCGCAATCGAAAGATAACTTAAAAGACAATTATTCTAACATGACCATTCAAACGTAACATCCGATTTCATTTTCTTGATATATGTCACGCAAATGGACTGATTGACTTTATACTTTCACTCGGCCAATCACAACAAACCCTGCAGTAAACCGAAAAGAAACCTCGTAATTGGTTTCAAGAAGAATTTACAGTAGAATGATGTCCTGAAACTCCGCAACACTCTTGGACACAGCTATGAGACCCCAGTTGCATACCTGCACTCCCTCCCACCGCCCCAACCCAATTTTCCAAAGAGGAACAGAGGGTATGCTTTCTGTGTAAAATCGTAGACACTGCTTAGCCTGAACAAAAAAGATTCATACAAGCAAGTTACCTTTTCGATATCTCGGCGTGATATAATGGCCGATGATTTATTGACTGACAGCATCGTTAAGCTCGGTTTGTCCGCATCGTCAACCCGCGGTTTTGCGGGACTGAAATTACACATCAACATGGCTAGAGGACTTATATGCCCTCTGGTGGAGTTGAATGTCATTTGTCTACTACATGGGGCCGAAAAATAATTCTGCGGCGTAAACTGGTCAGGTTTCGTTTCCAGCGGGTCAAACCAAGATCCTACAGCACGTGTGGCTAAACTAGAAAGAAGTCCAAATTGGCGAATTGTTGTTTCGGCGGGTGAAAAAGATCGCGGCAGCGACGAAGGTGTGTAGTTTTGAGGCGCGTTATCCTTTAGCGCAGGGTTCTTGTCTGGAGGGGTATCGTTGAAGAATTCTTCTGCCGATGTGTCGCTTTTCAATTTTATGTTACACTCTTCTTGTAGTCGCTTCAAGGAAAAATAACGTTTTGTGTTGTGTTGAATGACTTTCACTGCCTCTTGAATTCTCTGGAAATTCATCTTGGCTCTCCATCCTCGCCAAACTGGAAAGAAAAGACTGTCTTAGAGGCTTTTATGCTTAGGAATGGTAAAACAAAGCCCGTTAACCGTTACGTTTGCGTGACTGAGGCAGTGATAAATACTAAAGAAATACTCTTGGCAGGAGAGATAGAGCAAGTCAGTTGAGGCCGAAGCATTGAAGGAGCAAACTGGAGTTGAATTACGTAGCATGTGCCCTCTCCATAATAGTGGAATCCTGATTTCTTGAACCCCGATTCTTCAGTCGAATATCCCAATAACTCGAACCAAAATTCGTTTCCTCCCCTCAGTCGAACACTAATTTTACTCCTGATCTCTCGAACTACTCGATCTGTCAAACCAATTTTCGTTTCCCTTGGTGGTTCGAAACATCAGGATTCCACAGCACACAGGGTTCGTACAGGTCCTGGAAAACCTGGAAAGTCCTGGAATTTTATTGTGGCATTTTCCAGGACTGGAAAGTCCTGGAAAGTTCTGGAAATCTGTTAAAGTCAAGTAAAAAAACATGAAATGTATGGCAAACAGTAAGGAGAATTAACATTAAGATAATGGGAGTGAAAGGGTTGATGTGAATTTTAGTCCTGGAAAAATCAATCTGAGTCTTGGAAAAGTCCTGGAAAAGTCCTGGAAATTTTTTTCTGAAAAAGGGTACGAACCCTGACTGTACAAAGCAAAGGTCCTGAGGAGGCTTGAACCCAGACCCCACATGCACCACTTATTGAAGTGGTTTCATTAACGTTTTCAGCAGGAAGGCAACTGGTTTTCACAGGCGGACAAAACGTTTTAAACTAAACTTCTTTATAAGAAAACTTTCCTCTTGATGGTCAAACCAGTCAATTTACCCAGTACCCAACCTTTAATGAAACTCCAGTATTGGACCTCTAAGCTTCCTAACACATTTTGTTGAAGAACACATGAAACGCTTGACACAAGGAAATGTAATTTACCTGATTGGATTGTAACAGCTGCAGAGTTTCTTCTCCTTTCAATTCGTCTCTTATGGCGTCTCCAGCTTTTCTGGATAGCCAGCACCGATTTGGTGAGACATCTGTTCCGGACTTGCTCTAACCGTTCCATCTAAGAACGACGAAGCAAAAAAGAAAAAAAAAAAAAAACTCGTGGAAACGCGCGTTTGGCCGAGGAACGAGATTTAGAGAATGCATTCGCATTTTAAAACCTTATCAACGCGCTACATTTCAGCTACCACTTAAATGTGTTAACGCAAAGCTCTACTCCAGAAGAACCTTGATCCAATAGTAATGTATCGCGAGTAGAACCTATGAGTATTCATACCTATTCTACCTTTTTGGTACGCTTCGGTGGCGAATTAGGTGAGTTTGGTCGAGATATGGTTCGTATTTTGGTGAGACGTAATATATCCAAAATACCCTTAGCCTGTTATGCCGCCGAAGAGTACCAGGAAGGTACGATTAGGTATTTACCATAACCAAATTCGTCCAAATGACCATGACATTGCAGGATAACATGACTGTAGACCAGGCTTCTGATTGGCTAATTTCGAATTTAAGTACAGTAATGGTCAATTCTACAATACTAAATACGGCATGCAATTATAAAAACTATGTATACTTTTGGGTGAACTCCCAAATTGCTTTATCTTGACACTATAAATGGTTCAGAGCCGGGTTGTTCGAAAGGTGGATAACGCTATCCACCGGATAAATCACTATCCAGTAAATAGCGTGGTTCGTTTTGTTAACACTTATCCACTGGACAACGATTTATCCAGTGGATAGCATTATCCAGCCGTCGAACAACTGGGACCAGGTGTTTGACTCTCGACCTCTAGTGCCGTCTTAATCGTTCAAGTATTTGACGATCGACCGCTACAAGAGTGGCCCGCCACCTTAGACTATACACCCCTAAAATCGTGGAAACTTTTTCATTCTGACGTTCGTTCAACGTACCGCTTCTTCTCGGAGGAAAACCTTCGTTCGCCCGATTTTTACACCGCTGTCGTTCGTATGGACATTTTCCTTGACGTCATCACTGTCAACCTGGACGACTTCCAAGATTGACCGGCAAATGTGTCTCTTGTGATCGTAGCTACTTCGGTGTCGTCGACGAGAGCGACGTTTCAGTCTTTCCACGGCGGGAACCAGAGGAAAGGCTTCGGCTTTCTTCGGCGAGTGGGCTTGGGACTGAGTTACATGACTGCGCGTCACTGGGTTGAGATGCTTCAAAGCGAGGCTGTATCGTTGTAGAAATTCGTGATGGGAGAGCCTGAAAGAGGAAATGAGGGTTATTGTCGTGAGCGTGTAAGCTTTGTAAGCATGTTGTTGGAGGCGCTGTGGCCTCATGGTTGGTGCGCTCGCCTCCGGATCGAGCGGTGCGGGCCCTGGCCGAGAACATTCTGTTGTGTTCTTAGACAAGACGCTTTTCTCTCAAACTACCTCCCTCTAGTCTCTACCCAGGTGTATAAATGGGTACTGGCGAATTCAATGCTGGGGAACTCTGCGATGGACTAGCATTCCATCCAGGGTGGGGGCAGAAATACTTCTAGTCTCTTCATGCTACAGAAACCGGAGATAAGCGCCAGCCTGATGGGCCTCTTGGCTCGTATGCAAACTTTACCTGAGCATGTTGTTAGGATAAGAAACCTTCTTGAGAGCTCTGTGTATTTTTCTCACCTGATTGGATAACCAGCAGCGCTTATCCGAATTGTCTCTACCACACCACATGCATTCAGCTGAGCCATGACCTACGTACGTGGAAAGTATGTTTAGATGATGACAGACTTAGAGAACAAGTTACAGCCCTGTAACGTTCTCAGTTATACGTGGTTTTCTCTAGGAAGTAAACCGTTGTTTGCAAATCGAAGAGAGAGAAAAAGATAGTAAATTGAAAGGTGTACAAAGTACCTGTTTCCTGTCGAAAAGTCCAGGTTGACAACTGGAGTTGGGTTTGATACAGCGAATGTAGTGAACATTTGTAGAGCGAAGCGTGGACATCAGGCTGTCAAGGGAGACCTTAATCAAAAGCAAAAACAGTCAGACATTCCAGTAATCAAAACAGCTGTTTTAAAAGTAACGTTACCTTTAAAAAACGCGTGAGAANTGTCAAGACAAGTACGATTGCATTCAAATAAGGATGTTAGACAATTTAGAGCGTAAAAAATGTTTTATCACCTCATTCATTAGTGAAAAGACACTTGTTCTTCCCTCGATGAGATCCAAACAAGAACGATTGTCGACAAAATCTTGGAAGGACCAGTCAATACCCTCCTTTTGATACTCCTCCTGAAACGCAAATTACATGTCTTCAGTTTTGAGTTTGCACGAATTGCGTGCCTGGAAAATATTGTAACTGTGTGGTGCAGCATAGCCTATCGTTTTGTTCAGAGGATCTCAGGACTAGTTACTAAGCAAATATTGAAGAAGCCATTCTTACCTGTTGTCTCTTCATAAAGTAATACACGAAATGTTGCTGTAGTTTTTCGTTGGCGTAGTTTATACACAACTGCTCCAAGCTGTTGAAGTGAAAGTTTTCAAAGCCGTAAATGTCCAGAAGACCTGAAATAGAAGCAAACGGTGAGAACCGGGTAACCCCGTCAATTTGACGGCTTATATCTCGACGGGCTGACTGTATCCAGGATCGAACTGGATGTTAAAAGTGTTGGCATTTTTTGGAGGTAAAAGGTCGAGAACCAACCACTAACTTCCGTAGGACATCTTGTAGGCTAAATAGGGTAACAGGGAGGAATCCCTCCCCCTATTAGAGAGGCTCAACCTCCGGGGTGCGAGGACTCTTATATGAAAAGGTCGGGGATGCTAGTCGTCTCGCTTAGGGGTATAAATCAAGGATTCTGGATTCACTTAGGGTGTTCATGACGAAACGCCACTATTTTTAGCTGTCAAAGTATCTTTTAGCTTACACTCGAAGAAATAATAATAAAAAACGCTCCTATTTCCGTTTTTATGCTCGATTTCCGCTAGTCTCTCGATTCCGATCTACTAGCCCGGGCTCCTTTCCTAAATGGCAGCTGGTAATCAAACCTATTCCGTTTTAATTGGTATCTTTTAGGGGTCAAATAAAGCTTGAGTCACGCCCAAATTGGTCTCCTTTAGGGGTTTAATTCAAATTTTACGGCGGGCGTCCCCCTTTTTCAGATGGGAGTCCCTTCCCCGGGGGCTGAACTGTATCTTATCATATTTTATAACGTCTTAACAGAAGCTTATCTTCTGGTCTTACCTATAAAAGAATACTTCGAATCTGACGGAGCTCTGATGGACGCATTTATGAAGTCAACAATCCAGTCGAACAATCTACGAAAACGAAAGAATAATCACACAAGAGGATATTACCATCAAAGGTAAGGTGTTCTGGGGCAAAGGCATGTTACGCGTAGGAAAAGGAACTTGGAAAAGCGTCCCTCGTTTACAAAGCGCAATGCACGAGAAGGTAGCGCGAGACGTAACGGGATCAACCTATCTATGCGCGCACTTTTTCACTTTAATTTTATAAGAAGTGTAGCCAGCTTGTGTTCGTGTATGAACCCTTGACTCTAAGTTCTTTCAATCCGCTGTACACTTTTGTTTTCGTACCTGGAGTAGATCAGTTTGGCCATACAATCTCTTCTCTCCACGCATTCTGATTTTGAACATGGCTTCATGAACTGCTCGCCAGTGGAACCCGTTGTGATTCGTCGTAATGTTAAGCACTGCTTGAGCGACTCCGCTTCAGTTCCCAGTAATTCACAGGCTTCTAAGGATGAAAAAGTCAAGAAAGCATGGTTTAATAGTAAGAGTGTACGTAGGAGTCCATCAGAGATATCCTCACTTATTAGCTGTCTGTTTTTCTAAAGAAGCGGCTTTCTTTTGACAGTCAAACAAGAACAAAGAGGCAAAGAGAGTGGAGAAATGTGTTCAGTACAAGAGTTTTCTTCAACTCTTGTCAACCCAGCCCTAATCAGAGCGCGGTCAAACTTGGTAAGAGTACGAGAGAGTTGATATCTTTGACCTGTCTCAAACAAGCGTAAACTCTGCTCGATCAGTGTCATGAAAAATCAAGAAGATTAAATTTCGTGAAAGCGCACGAGAAACGATGGGAGCAGATGAGAGTTCAGGGTAAAATGCAAGCGAGATTCGGAACTATTTTATTCACAAATTTATACAAAGAGAGAGAGGGTCTTCTCATGCCCCGTTTAGTTCGTATTTTCCTCACAAGAAACCAAGTTTTCAGCTAACACTTACCTTGAACATCTTGAATAGTGCAAGTTTCGTTGGTTGACGGATTCGGATCCGAGAACTGAGCGTCACAAAACTTGAGAATACCATTGAGAACCTAGAAAGAGGAAGGCCAGCTTTAGAATCAAGAAAAGCTAGGATAAAGAAGTAAAGTGGGAGTACAACGAATCGGAAAGGAGAGACGTTTACCAAAAATGAGTTTGCTTCACCTTAAATATTTCACATTGAAGTTGATCGTCAATTCCAACGTTTCTTAGAGCTTGCCTCGTTACTTCGAGAGCTGCAAAACAAGATTACAACACAGGTCACATTTACAAGCGATAGCCTAGAGAAAGTGATTTTTTCTCTTGCAGGCTCGTTGGATAAAACCTTCATGGGGCTATCAGGCAAGTAAGATTTCGTGGCTTTGTTTTTGGTTTTACTTTATTTACTTCATAGTTGTGAACGTGGCCTCTTTCACAAAGGACACAATAAATGAGGACACAATAAAACAAAGTCTCTCTTCTTTACACTTATCACACTCAAGCGGGGAATTGAATGAGGCGCACGAATCTCAGATGGCTGTTTTCTGAGGCTAAATCTCTTTTCGATCACGATTCAAAGAAAACGGCATGCTTTTTTTGCGCAAAGATAATTATTACAAGTTGGACCTCGTCTGCGTCACAGGTAATTTTGAAAACCGTTACGAAATCGAACAATTTCAGTTTTTAGTGGTCAAAAATCTTGTACCAGAATAATGAAGTATATTAAAATCCTTTTTGCATTTTCTAAAAGCTAAAAATATAAATAATTGCGTGAAATAACACCAAAAACAATTTCTCATAGGAACTTGAGAAGTAATTTTCAAAGTTCAGAGAAATTGTGTAAACATAGGTAAATTGTCACCAATAGTTTCACTTCACCGGTACTTTCAAGTGTATCATATGAACTTCAAAATTTGGTTTCGACGTTTTTTGTCGCTAGAAATGATTTCTTTTGAGAAGATATATTAAAACAGTCGAGCAGAAGTTTGCAATATGATGTAAATAATCTTGGTACAACGATTTAGTCCACTTGTTACTAGAACTTGTGGTGGATTCCTTCTTTAAAATGCGTCTGTACTTGATATTATAACAATGCTCATACGAATTTGTTTGTGTTCGGCCCCGTCCATACTAGTCTCCTTCGCAGCCGTTTTTTGGGATGTCACGCGTGACATCCCCAAAAACGGCTGCGAAGGAGACTACGTCCATACTTGTGTTGTGTTGTTGCTGTTGTTGTTGTTTATAGTGGTCAGTGCGCTTAGCTACACCTAAATAACAAAATATATCAATTAAACGTAATAGGCTTAAAAATCCCAACCGGCGGGAGGCAGACCAGTTGGCTATTTACAAGCATGACCGAGGAGCTGAACTAGGGTTTACCAAGAAACAACTCCAGCTAAGTGGTCAGAGCGGGACTTGAACCCGCGACCTCTGTATTTCAAGTCCGGCGCCCTAACCACTCGGCCACGCATACTTCAGCGGAGGAATTCGAAAACGCAGCTTTATTTCTACGGCCAGGCCTACCGTCCACAGAACTCCGTCACGACAACGAAGCTTTTCGAAAACGCTCTTCAAACCGGAGGAATTTGAAAACGCCGGCTTTTCGTTTTCGTGAGGAAGGAAAACGTTTGAAAACGGAACTTTTCGAAAACGATGGCGTCACGATAGTCATGTGATCTCCCTGACCAAGTTGTCCTCAAACACAAATCCAAAATGACCGGTGATTGGTGCGTTTTCAAATTCTTCTGGCGTAGTGTGGACGGACCCTTACAAGAGTGAAGCTTTTAAGAAAGAGATCACCACTCCAAAACGACGCGAAGGCGTTTGCATCAAAACTACCGTAATCTTTGTTGCGTTTTAATCTTAGGGACCGTTCATTTTTTATAAGGTAGGGGGGGATGGTGGGATTTGGCCATGCGAAAAAAAATGGCTTTCGAGGGGGGGCCATCCCAAAAAAATAAGGGAAAAAGGGGGGGTCACGTGAAATATTTTAGTAAAACTTTAAANGTCGTCACTGAGGCACGCAATCTCCAACATACCCAATCCTTGACGCTTGATTGGTTCTGTTTTGTATCTTACCGCCTCAAAATAAAAAGTTTAGCGGAGGCGTAATCATGAAAGGTGGTTCTTCATAAAAGGGACAGGAAATATGCCCTGTACTGGAACAGAAACTACTGCAACAACAAATGCGATGCTGAATACACCAAAATTGTGTCGAGTGAGTAGCTTATAGCCCCGGCCAAACGATCGCGACATTTTATTGCAATATATCGTGATATTGTTGGCGACAGAAAAAAGTCCTGCCGAAATTTGAAGTGAATGAAACTCTTCCACCTCTCCCTTTCTCGTTTCTTTTTTTCTTCATTTGCATCGTCTGTCCTCAGTCATCGCACATGGAGCAACTTTAAACTTAACGCAAATTTTTAACGTCAGGTTATACTCAAGACCCAAGGCACAGTTATTCCCAATACGGACCTCACGGCCCGCAAATAAGAGGCCATCGATAAAACCAGGAACATGGAACATCCCGGAACATTCTGTTTAATCATGTGACTGTTCCCTATTCCTAGATTTCGTTCTTCATAGAAAACCAAGATGGTGTCCGTTCGAACTCTTTAATCAGACCGAAAAATATGGGTACACGGGTGTGATTTCTTTATTCAATTCATTACGTTAATTCAAAGATATGCGTATACACGATTTCTCATGAAGAAATTGTTTCTCCATGAGATAGAAATAGAAACTCTTCGGCATTGAGTTTCTTGTCTAAATTAGTTCGGACTGCTCGAACTCTGATGATTTATTAATAATAACTTGCTTCTTACTCGGGCTTCTGTTAAGCGTCCATGTTGAAGAGACTTTGAGTTACCGTGACACATTGCGTGACCTATGTTAAATATTAAGTGTCATTAGAAAGGTTTTGCACTTTGAGCCGTGGTCTTGCCAGCCGTATCGAGATCCTGTCCTTGGAAGAGTCTTAAAGATCGAAGAACGTTCCGTTATGATCGCTTCTCGTGTTATTTTCGACCGTTCCCGGCAATTCCGTAGAACCGGTTACGACAGTACGTGTTTGTGTTGAAAAAACAGTGCTATAAAGCCATATGACGCAATGGGCGCGAAAGAAGAGGAGCCTGTATTCATTGTGGTCGGTCGAAAGAATACCCTACGCTCTCTACCCCTCCGCTACCGACTCCCCTAACCCCCCCCCCAAAAATATATTTTCATATTTCGAGCTGATACCAGTTTATGTTTCGTGTATTTTAGTTTAGAAAATTTAATTTTACGCATTTTTTGCTTAATTATTATAACTGTTTGATGTTCCGGGATGTTCCATGTTCCGGATTTTATCGAAGGCCCATATAAGATATACAAGCATAAAGCTTTATTAAGGAAGATGTGAGTACCTGGTCAAAAATGTGAAAAATTTTTTCCCCCTCTTCCTGATGCACAACTCTGGTCTTCTCCAAGAGGTAAGTGTTAATACTAGCACCAACGATCTTGTGGCTCCTACGAAGAAATTTACAGAGTAATGAAGGTAAATGTAATCCTCCAAAGAACTTTCTTTTTCTCCTTGGACCAGTTATGAAAGCTTAAGGTTCAAAGTTATTATATTTCTTAGTGATCGATACCTCCCTTCGATGTCTACGCCACTCAACTTGTATTACCAACTTGCTCTGTGAAGCCTAATGAATTCCAGTGCAGTGTTGCTAATGTCGAACCTTCCGTAAGCGAGCACCCTGGATCAAATTTTTGCGCCGAATACTGCACTTCGATTTTTATACTGCAGTTCCGTTAAACTGTTGGTTATTCTTCTGAAAACAGTGTAGGACGCGGGAACAAGTTCTCTTTTCATCGACCGAAAGTCACAGTAAAATAAAAAAATATCTTAATTGACCCCTCACACAATGGGGCTTTTCAGGAGCATTACTCTCTTGAAGAAAGGGACACAATGCAACTTTTATTAGCAATCCTCACCGATCAAATTGAAGTTGGATGTACTTTCCAAATCGACTGCTATTTCTGTTACGCACTGTCTGAGCATTTCCAAATGCTTCCAGAATTGGATTGGAATCAAGTATTCTTTGTTCAATCCTGTTCACATTGGCAGCCTCCTTAGTTCTGTTGAAAGAAAAAAAGTATATGCATGTATTTATGTGATGTGGAGGATCTAGCTCACCAGTTAATGAGAGTAAATTAGGATTATCGGTGTGACAGTGCTTGTCACGTAAGACTCCGTAATATGTCGTGACAATGTAACGCAACAGAAAGTTTGAAGAACAGAAAAGTCTTAAGTTATGATTTTTTTTTATTTCTGTTTTCTGATATAGTTTTCAAGCAAAAATATTCTTTGAAAGTCTCTTACCTCGTTTCTGTTAAGTCAGTAATAAAATGCATCAGGCTGCGTGTTGTCCATGTCTGTAAAGGGAATGGTAATGTTAGAACTCTACTAAGCTTTAGTTGGACATCTTTCACTTCTACCACCTTTTCCACTACTGACCTTTCCTGCTCCACTTTCACCACTNGTAGGACGCGGGAACAAGTTCTCTTTTCATCGACCGAAAGTCACAGTAAAATAAAAAAATATCTTAATTGACCCCTCACACAATGGGGCTTTTCAGGAGCATTACTCTCTTGAAGAAAGGGACACAATGCAACTTTTATTAGCAATCCTCACCGATCAAATTGAAGTTGGATGTACTTTCCAAATCGACTGCTATTTCTGTTACGCACTGTCTGAGCATTTCCAAATGCTTCCAGAATTGGATTGGAATCAAGTATACTTTGTTCAATCCTGTTCACGTTGGCAGCCTCCTCAGTTCTGTTGAAAGAAAAAAGTTTCATGTATCTATATGATGTGGAGGATCTAGCTCACCAGCTAATGAGAGTAAACTAGGATCATCGGTGTGACAGAGGCTTGTCACGTAAGCCTCCGTAACATGTCATGACAATGTAACGCAACAGAAAGTTTGCAGAATGGAAAAGTCTTTAGTTATGATTTGTTTTTATTTCTGTTTTGTGATCTAGTTTTCCAGCAAAAATATTTTTGAAAATCTCTTACCTCGTTTCCGTTAAGTCAGTAATAAAATGCATCAGGCTACGTGTTGTCCATGTCTGTAAAGGGAATGGTAATGTTAGAACTCTACTAAGCTTTAGTTGGACATCTTTCACTTCTACCACCTTTTCCACTACTGACCTTTCCTGCTCCACTTTCACCACTCACAATAATCGACTGGTTCCTTGTTTCAAGATCTCTTTTCAGGTCGCAGAAGGCTTTTTGGCCAACAGCAAATATATGAGGAGGGTGCTCCTACATTGAGAACAAAACAGATAAAAAGAGTTCAGTCAAGATTGTGTGAGAAAGTGACATCACTGATGTCACATTGTCATGCAACTTTCTCCAGTCTGAACTCTTTTGATCAAATAGTATAAGTGACACTAAATTAGATAAGAAGTTTGACTGACTTCATGGTGAATTACAGCTGTTGGTTCTCAAACCTTGATTTCTACTGCACTGCCACTCTTGTATCTGTTGACCATCTTGCTATCATAAAGTTCAGCAACATCTTGGAATGGATTGACAGCAATAAGAGGAACACCTGCAGCACAAGAGGACATGCCAGAGGTGTCTACAATGCATAGTCTACAATGTCTTTTCTTGCATTATGGTTCCATGCACCCACGTTATAAAGAGACACTTCTCACAAGTAGACCCCTAACAAGGTTCTAATTAAAGGTTTACAGTGTCAATTGAAGTCCAAGAGTGATGGGCATCAAGTGGCTCTTTAATATATCACTGCATTAGGGATGCAAGTTATGAAGTTTAAGGAAGTTTATAACATCAGACACCAGGGACACTTGTCATGCATTGTGCAATACCAGAAAATATCCATACTCCCCCTACAGAAGGGATTGGAATTTCCTGGGGGGTCGGGCGTTCTCTAAGACCAAAAAATTTAAAGAAATGTATCAAGTTTAATTGGAATTTCCAGAGGGGAGGGGGTTCTTGCAAAAAATCCCTTCCGTGTGGGAGGTATGAATATTTTCTGGAACTACACATTGAAAAATTCTATCAACATCTGGCTGAGCTACTGAGCAAGTTACAATGTGCCAAATTTTCTCCAATTTTGATTGGTTCAACTGTTCAACTTCTTACTTATGATCAAATGGAGGACAGACACATAGATGATCTCAAGATGATACCATTAAAATTTTTGTTGTTTCTTTATAATAAAACAAATAGATTCTATGTTGCCTTGCGTCTGTTTGGTAACTGATCACAGAAGACGTCAAAATGTGGTAAGAACATCAGTGACACAACTCAGCTGTGACGCCTTGTGTTGCACTTTTTTGTTCTTACCACATTTTGAAGTCATCTGTTATCTGTTACTAAAAAGACACACAGAAACATGGAATCTATTTGTTAAACTTATTACAGAAATCAAAATCAATAACTTGCTGCAATGGCTAGATGGCCTTTGATCAGCATGGCATTTTGGGAGAATATTGATTTTGATAGTTAAAATAATCAACTATCAGTACTAACACAGCATATATACCTGCCCATGAATAGACTTTTCCTGTTTGAAAACGAGCTTCTATTACCTGGAGCACTGCAATCAGATAAATAAGTATTTTAAATTGTGACGGCAAAAGGCAAGCAGGGGATTATGTTCAATGTTAGACAGAATCATTGCACAATAATCTAGACTTAAGGAGAGCATATCAGCACTGCTCCTGAGCATGCCTGCCTAGAAAAAAGTAGACTCAAATTTACCAGCAGATGTTATCACATGGCAAATGGTTTCAATGAATGTTATCAAACTAGTAAGCTTGTATGTAGCTAGGCAATGAGGGATTCAAACCTGTATCTTCATTTAAAAGATTCAGTGATGTCAGATCATCAGCGTCTTGCAGATTTATAAACTTTCCTTCTTTTTGTGGTTTAGGAGGAAAGTGGTCAAGAGAGGCATCCCTTCTCTCTACCTCTGGCTTATTTGCGCTTGAATTTTCTAAAACCTGAAGACGAAATAAGCTTAGATTAGGAGGAAAAATCTTGTTAAGTATACAAGAGGTATTTTCCTAAATTCACATCTTATCGATAAAGCTGCAAGTCTTTCGAGATGGACTTTGTCCTTACATTTCCTCTCAAAGTCACTCTCTGTTCAAGTCCATAATTTTTTCAGCTATGAACAGTAAAAAAGAAATTACAGCGATCGAGCGAGAAACCATTCCAGACATTCCAAAACAAAGCTGAACAAAGTTTAATTCTCGAGCTGCCAGCACAGTGATCTATTCACCGATGTTAACAGCATTCTGAAAAATATGTTTATAAGATACTCACCTTCATATTTACACTCCTTGATCGTCGAAGTCTGCAGTAAACACAGCTGTTCAAGAAAGAGAACAAAATTCTCATGGAGCTTTGCATTCAAATTTCGAACCGTGGATAAATGGTGCGTTTTGATTGGCTCAAAGCGTACCTGTCCGCAGTGTCTGGAGAAATTCACACAGCGGCTAACTTCAAAAGTGAATACGTATCACGTACCAGGATGCAATGCGAGTTGCCGCTATGATCGATGATGCAGAAAACATGGCTTCCTCAATCACTCCAACTCAGTGGGAAGGTTCGTGTTTTTCCCATTAATTCTCCCATATTTTCCTTCATCTTTTAAACGTATCTATTCTGTGATAATGCTATCGATGAATTCTTCATTTTGGAGTTATTTTTTTGGTGCTTTTCTCTACAGAATTGAGGAAGAAAGCAAGACAACTTGAAAACGAGATCGACCTGAAACTTGTGTCGTTTAGCAAGTTAGGAACAAATTACAGTCATCGTGATGGCTTCAAGGAGAGGTATAGCTTCTTTGAAATGAAGAGACATGGATTTTACCATCTGCGAATATGATTAGTTATCAGTGTCTTTTGTTTGCAGTTCTGATACGTCACCACTTTTAAACAGTTCTTCGAGTGAACGACTTTTCGAAACTATGGGACTAGAAATTGAACAACTGTTATCCAAGGTTAGTTCTGCAAGGAACTTTGTGTCATTAATTTATAATTTATTTGGCTATTTACTATTTTTTGTATTATTTATTCCATTATTGAATGTTATCATTTTAAATGAATAATAATTATTCAACTGAGATGACGTTGCCAGAATAAATTGTTTATCAGCAGTTTATTCCTCGGAGATCGCTGTGATCTGAACATTGCTCTCGTCACAAAATAAAGACTCTTCCATTGCTTTCTGTTACAGCCAAAGCCAAATATACTATCCAGCTGATTCAATAAGTTCTTTTTTTATATCCCTATTTTGAATCTAGATCCTCCGTTGAGCTCCAAAGCATTGATTTTAGGCATGTTTGAGAAGGTGCTCAGAGGAGAGGGAGGACTTAAAAAGGGGGTGTAGGGTCGGGATGATGCAGCTTGTTTAATTTAGCAAATTGCCAGCAGGTTACTTTGATAAAAAAGTGTCATATAAGTGATACATTATGGCTGTTTTTGAGTTTTGTATTTTGATTTTATGAATTGTTTGTTTTATTTTTGCCTCAGTTGACAGAGGTCAATGACTCGATGGCCGAGTACACTGCTGGTTTCAATTTGGGTCAACCTAATGCTACCCAGCTTCATACGCTCCAGAGACACAGAGATATTCTACAGGGCTATTCGCATGAGTTTTCAAAGACAAAGGTAAAATTTCCATAAGAATTATATAGAACTTAATGTAAATGTGAAACCTATTGAAATCCTGAAATTAGATTGTCTCATTTAGAGATCAGAAACTAGGACTGAACAATGTGTGCAAAGAAAATTTTGGGATGTTAGTTTCATTGGCAGTTACATTGGTTGCAATTTCGAGCCCTGGGATGGCTTTTAAAATACTATGCCTGTGTTATGCCTGTGTTATGCCTGTGTTAAGCCTGCAGTCTCATGAAAGGAAAAGGCCAAATTGGCCCTGTTTTTGTTTTTCTGGGGGCCATCTCTGATTACAAAGCGGGATTCCCAGAATGGCGCGCTCTGGCAGAAACACTGAGGGCTTGAAGTTATGACCAATACTATTGCATGCAGTTGTGACTAAATGTCCGGTGACTAAAACTTGCTCCTTTTCAGTTGCAATTTTGCAACTAGTTTTCAACCAAGCTAGTGGAGAAATAAAAATTTCAATTGTTTGGTGTGTTAATTACTATGGAAATGAGAACATGCTTGGGCAAATCCTGTCTAATTTACGTTCGATATTACAAACAATATTCACTTTTTCAGATGCCATTTAAGCAGTTTCTTTATGAACATGTATCGCTTATACATAGTAAACAAACATGGTGGGTCTGCATTTGTAGCAAACGATTTTCTGACAGCCCAATGTACAAGCCAGATTTTAACGCTTGCCTTCTGTAAATGAACATGAACACATGCATGTTGATGCTTGTCTTGTATCTTGCTTTCTGCTGTAGTCATTTATTGCAGTAAGCTGAAACTTTAATTTAAAAAATGCAAATCTGTATTCAATGCTATGGTAAATAATGAAGCTGTAATCCTACTGCTTTGTCAAGTAACCAGGCGAGAAAACATGACATTCGATACGGACAAACACACTTATGTAAAAGTTGTATACATTTTTTTTCTTCTCTCCAAAATCTATTACATATGCGTAGCTTTCAAACAAAACAAACTATAGTTTTCGCTAAAATCTTAGATGCCGATAAAGAATGTTGTTAACCAGGGGTATCTAATCGATGATCAATGACATCAATGAATAATCAGTGAGTAATTGATGGGTAATCAACTGATTATTCATTGATTATTGGCGATGATCTATGAGTAATCATTGAGTAATTGAAGCCCAGTAATTTTGTGATGTATCGATTACTCATCGATGTCATTGATTACTCACTGAAGACATTGATTAGCCATTGATATTATTGATTACTCATTGATGACCTATTGATTATTCATCGACTACTCATCAACTCTCATTCCACGCTATGATTACAAATTTCTTGCTTTTTTATACGGATAATTTGTTAATTCTTTTATCTGTGTTTTACATGTTTGTCTTTTATAACAGGCGTTCCTGTTTACGTAATTACGCCAATGCTAAAGGCCAAACAACGTACCAACATATCGACATGTAGATCAGTAACCGCAAATACAGATTTGCAAAATTTCACTTCATGACTAATCGATGCAGTCAATGACTAATCGATGACTGAAAATTTTGTGGCCCATTGATTACTCATCGATTACTCATTGATCATCAGCAATAATCAGTGACTAATCAACTGATGACCCATGGATTACCTATCGATTTCTCATTGATGTCATTGATGTCATCAATTAGATACCCCTGGTGTTATTGAGAGATGTTGATTTCACTTCACATCTTCAAGTCACTGCATGTTTCACAAGAACAACACTGTTTCAAAGCGGCTACATGCGTGAAAACGAGAAGTATAGTTTGGTATTCAACCTTCATTCCACTCATTTGATGAGTATGAAAATAAATAAAAAATGAATTAAGATATCTTAGGGGCCAGCCTGGCAACCAAGTGTGGAAAGTTAGTCGCCAGTGAAAAAAATCTGGTCGCATTAATGACCCCAGTGGTTGCAATGTCAAGCTCTGCTATTGTAACTGCAAATCATGTTTGCTTTAAATGGAAAGGTTTTTCCTGAGTTAGCCTGTAAAGATCCTCCTATCCTTCTTCTTTCTCCAATACTGCAAGGCAGATGCAAAGTCAGATTGCTCAAGATTTCCCCTTCAGCAGAGACAACAAAAAAAGTATTAATCGATTGGTAAAAGCAATGTATGTGGAATGTTAAAATGTAGGCTCCAGTCTCTCTCAGAATTACTTGGAATGCCTGACACAAAAAGTACTCGTATGCAAACCTGAAATGCCAGTCATTTTTTGCGCTCATTTCAGGCTAGTAAGCACACATATTTGTGTTAATTTACTTTTATTATTGCCTGCTGCTTTGGAAGTACTTATACACGAGATAACTTGAGGTTTTTGTGTCAGTATGACTCCAAGATCATTTCATTTTGCGTCAGAATAGAATATTCCACATCAGTGAGGCAAAACCGCAGCATAGATTGAACACTGCATGCCTATGGATTTCGAGTTTAAACAACCCCCCTTGCCCTCGCAACTTCAAAAAGCTGCCTGTGGTATAGGTATGGATATTTTCTGGAATCACCCCTTATAAGAAGGAAACTTTGTAGAACCTTTTCTTTCAAAACTCCTTGGCAATGACCTACCAGTGTCCTGCAGAATCTCCACTCAGTCATATCACTACATAACTACTATTATTCCCAGATGTCTGTCGACATGGGTTTTTTTCAGGCCATCGCATGAATGGTTGGTTTTAGCTGCCGATTCAAAAACAGAGTGATCAAGTGATGACAAACATCTTTTGGCCACAGTTTGCAGCTCAGCTGTTGAAAATTCCTCAAAAGTATCAAGTTTGCAGCAAATCTTGTCCATGCAATGGATTTGGTACATAGTTCGAACTCTTCTCTCACTTTTTTGAATCTGTGTCTGAAGCCAATAGTCCGTGACATCTGGTATCCATAGTATATTCTGTGCAGATGACATGCGCCCCTTCGAAAGTCTGTCTCTCATTTGTAGACACAATTTGGGTCGCTGAAGTGCATAGCATTGGGAAGTATTTTTTGTCTTGAATTAAGTCTAATGTCTAATGAAAAGTTTTATTTTTAGGCTAATATTCAAGCCTTCAGAGACAGAGAGGATTTGCTTGGATCAGTTCATAGAGATATCAAGTAAGAGTTTGTCCAGCCAGAGTTTTCCAAAGTTGCTCCAACAATTTCATGTGTTTATATTATGCTCTGGCTCTTTGAGAGATAAGTGTCTTGCCCTAGACGCAATACAGGGAACCAAGCCAGAGTCAAACCCGAGCTCATTGAACATGTTAAAGTCTCAACCACTATATCACTACACCCATTTGCTAGCTGATTTGTCAAGGAAAAATTGTCTTCTTTTGGTATTCACAGGTAAAAAGCTGTTCATGTATGTTTTCATATTTCTTTCTTTAGTGCATACAAGACTGGAATGAATAGGAGAACAGACCTGTACCTTAAAGAAAATGAGCATATAAGAAAGTAAGTCTGCTGATTTTGCTTTGTGTCATGAGGTGTTTAGGAATAGGAAGAATGAAACTGTAGTTTAGAGGGTGGCAACTAAATTGTCTCATGCTTATAAGGCAATACCTTCTATCTTTCTAAGGTACACCCTCTTGTTGTCAGGTTACAGCTCATAGCATTGCTTGAGTAGTTACACTATCAGGGTGCAAAGGAAACCAAATTTTAAACTTGTCGATTGGGCAAGCTGCTGCTATGATATGCCAGCCCTGAAAGTTTATATTGTCATTGGCCCCGCCAAGAAAGTTCTTACCAGAGCATGAAATAATTAATTTAAAGATAAACTGTAATACAATTATAGTTATATAATACAGTTCTGGCCTCACGAGTCCTCATGGGCCCGACGAGGATGAGTGAGTGAGTGATAATACAATTATTTCATCTTGTCCTGTATTTCTGTAATCTGATTTTCTAAAAAAAATTGTTCCCAAATTGAAAAGCTTTACTTGCCCCTTGGGCATGCAGTGGACAGAATCCACTAGCCCGGCTACAGGCACGATTTTCTTTGCACCCCATCTATGAGCAAACTTCTGTTTCCTGTGTCTCAATCAACAAGTCAGTGTAAAAATAACCAGAAATATGGGAACACACCTCCAGAAGAACTACAAAACACAAATTCACCCCACTCTTAGCAGAAGCTTTTATCAGAAAGTACAGTGAACCCTCAAAAAAATTTCCTTGTCTTTACAATATCCACTTCATTCAGCCTCTAGGATGGCATTCAATGAGAGATTTGACTGCAGTTTTGAGTTTAAAGTTATGGCTGTGGTCAGGACTGTTTTTGAGTGGGCTTATCACCAGAGATATCTTTGTCGTTTGTGGGAGGGGTGGTTATAAATAGCCAAGGTTCAAAATGAGATGAAAAAAAATTGATTTTGGCCTGAAGAAAATGGTACGTTTACTAGAAAAAGGTTTGGTGTGGATAAATGTTGTGTAAACAATTTATTCTCAAGGCAAAATTTCACTTGTGCTCAGACCTGCTGGAGAGGCAGTCCATTTTCATTTGAGCCATGCCAATATTTTTTGTCATTTAAACGAGCCTGTAGTCTTTCTAATAGCCACATCTAATTGTATGATCGGTAGAACTTAACAATGTAGGGATAACAAAGGCAGTGGAGAGGGAGGCGCGTTTAACCAAAGTTTTCATGGTATACCAACAAAACTTCTTTCTTTTACTTAGTTCTGATCGAATGGCAGATGAAGTGATTGGGTAAGTTGACTTTTTCTTAAAGTGTATATGACATGAAAAATAACTTCGGCTTATTTGAAAGGCCTTTTAAAATACAGAAGAATGGCGTTTTTCTTTTTGGAAGTGATGACGTCAAATTGTTTGCAACTAAAATATGGTAAAGAACTGAATAAATAGTGTCTCTAGAAATATTAAAGCAGATTTCTTGAAAATTGGCACAACAAATGTACATCACAAAAGAAACAAAATGACACCCTTAATGCTGTTGCCATAGCAACTCTTTCGGCTCCAGTCTCTTTCTGTCAAAAAACCAAATATCCCCATTTGCAACCTCTAAAGTGAGAGCAATCAGAGAATAATCAGCACTTAACACTGACTACTTAATAACTTGTGATAACTTGACTATGAAAAACGTTTCAAAACTATAATTTAGACTTGTAAACGTTTGGTTCTGCCTGAGCTATAACCTGTAAATCCTCGCGTTTTGGCATTGGCGAAAACCAGCCATTGACTTGTTTACAATACAGCTGGTGTTGAATTGTATCACTGCCAAGCTCCGTCCGCACTACGCCGGAGGAATTTGAAAACGGAGGTTTCACTCTGAAAATGCATCAAATGTTTTCCGTCCACTCTACGCCGGAGAAATTTAAAAACGCAACATTTACTGGTCCAACCTCGTTCCCAGGGTCTCTCATCTTACCGCCCTCTGGAGCGAGCGACGAGAGACCCGGGTCTCTCCTCGTTCGCTCCAGGGGGCGGTAAGATGAGAGACCCTGGGAACCAGGTTGTTGCTGGTCAGGGAAATCACATGATTATGACGACCCCGTCGTTTTCGAAAAGCTCCGTTTTCAAAATGTTTCCCGTCCAGACGAAAACGCAAAGCCAGCGTTTTCAAATTCCTTCAGTTTGAAGAGCCAATATTTCTCCGGCCAAGTGTGGACGCTGCCTTAAACACGGCCTCGGTATGGGCACGAATTTCTGTCTGGTACCTCTTCTGTTCTGTTGTCGTCTGTAGAACCTTACGCTGAAAGCTACGTGACAGGTCTGAAAAGGTCACAAACTCTTTACTTCTGGAAGACTAGTAAAATGGAACACACGGCCTTCTGGGTATTGTTAGCCTTAGTCTTGAGATTCACTCCTACTGTTTCTTTTTGCGAGGAAGGCGGGCAGATAATTAACCTGGACGAGATAAACAATCATTTCACGGACCTTCTTCAGGGATTAGACCTTGTGTTGGACCAATTCAACGACGAGAAAGGCGCGTTGTTCAAGTACGTCTTTTTACCCGGCTCAATAGACGCCCGGCGGACCGTGAAGGATGGAAACAAGTTTTGCGTCCGCGTCCAAATCGTGCCTTCTTCTTGCCGAAACACGGTGGAGAATATGTCCAAAAGGATCGACAAGTGCCCGGTGAATTTCAGCGATCAGAACGCGATTGATCAAACCTTGTGGTGTGATATTGAAATGTTATCCCGGCCGTGGTTGAACAATATTCAGATTCAGAAGAGAGTTTGTCAACGGGTGTAGTAGAAATCTGTCGATATCTTCGATGAAAAAAAAAATTCGTTGATTCAAATTCGTGAAGTACCCGCAGCCCCTCTGTACGTGTCTGTGTGGGTTGTTACGTTTCTCCATTTTTTATTTCACTTTTTTTTCTTTTGTTTTATAATTTTGTACCCTTCTGTACAATGAACTGAACTGTTTACAGAACACCTGTTTTTCGAGGCAACTTATGTTGTGATTAGTACTGTTGTGTACTTTTTTTGTCACTCAAGGTGCGAAACAACTCAAGCGAAAATCACCATTTTTTTTCTCAAATAAACCGTTCTGGTACATACAGGTCTTCGAACGATTTACGTCAAAGAATGACAATTAAAACTGACACGAAAGGAGTTTAATTGAACGGTGTTACTTGTGGCTCATGAATTACTTACTGAACAAAGAGGCGGCCATCGACCACCATTGTGATAACTCGATTATGAAAAACGTTACAAAGCTATAATTTAGACTTGTAAACGTTTGGTTCTGCCTGAGCTATAACCTGTAAATCCTCATGTTCTTCATGCAAGAAAATACGTTTTTTTGCCGTTGATGAAACACGCCCATCGGCTTGTTTACAACACAGTTGGTGCTGAATTGTCTCACTGTTAGACACCGTCCACAATACGCCGAAGGAATTTAAAAACGGAGGTTTCATTCTGAAAACGCATCAAATGTTTTCCGTCCTCACTACGGCGGGGGAATTTGAAAACGCAAGATTTACTGGTCATTTTGGATTTGTGTTTGAAGAAAACTTGGTAAGGAAAATCACTTGACTATCGTGACGCCATCGCCGATCTGTAACCTTCCGAACAATGAACAGAACGAAAACATAGAACTGTTTACAGAACACCTGTTTTGACAGTTTCGAGATAACGTTTGCTGCCATTAGTACTATTGTGTACTTTTTTTGTCACCTAAGGTGCGAAACATCTCAAGCGAAAATCACCATTTTTTTCCCAGAATAAACTGTTCTGGTACACGCAGGTCATCGGACGCTTTACGTCAAAGAATGACAATTAAAACTGGCACGAAATGAGTTTAATTGAACGGTGTTACTTGTGGTTCATGAATTACGTACTGAACAAAGACAGGGCGGACGCGACCATCAAAAAATATATTTTCCTCATATGAACGACTCGTTCCCGTTGTAAGTCGTTCACATTACGCCGGAGAAATTTGAAAACGCAGCTTTATTTCTACGGTTAGGCCTAACGTCCACGCTAATCCGTTACGAAGGCGGAGCTTCCCGAAAACGCTCTTCAAACAGGAGTATGAAAATGTGGGCTATTCGTTTTGCGTGGACGGGAAACCTTTTAAAAACGGAGCTTTTCAAAAACGATGACGTCACGATAATTACGTAATTTCCCTAACCGAGTTTTCCCCAGTCACTAATCCAAAATGATCGATGATTGTTGCGTTTTCAAATTTCTCCGGCGAACTGCAGACGGAAAACATTTGATGTGTTTTCAGAGTGAAAACGCCTTTTTCAAATTTCGTCGGCGTAGTCTGGAGGGGTCCTAAAAGTCGGTTCTCTGGAAAAGTGTAAGGTTCTGATCGTAATCTTGAAGTATTGGCCTGTTTGTCAAGTAAAGATGACCTGCGGTCTGATAACGGGTGTGTTACGTTCAAAACGTCGCCTTCTTTTGTTTTTCTTTGTTCCAAAACGGCGAGAGGTGTAGGTCTTGAAATGTAAAGTCTTTGGAAGCCGAAATTTTCAAGATCGATGCGTAATCCGTGTCACTTTTCTCCAACTTTCTCAATCCTTCTTTCTTTACGGTTTATTGTGGTATCTTTGCTGTGTCCTTAACTTAGTAAGCTATTACTTTGAGGTTCGTTTTGGCTGAGATGAGGGTAAACTTTCAACACTGCGTGTATGGTGACTTACAGGTACCATGAGCTTGTTCCCGCTACATCTATCTGTTGTCTCGTTATTCACATATTTTTAGGTCTTTGCTGAAAGCTCGCGTCCTTGTTCCCTGATTTAGTTGTATGGAGCGTTTCAACCTCTGCATACTTGTCCAATCTGATTCTGATTTTGTTTTGTTTTGTTTTTGTCAATTGTAGAGTTGCACTGGCCACAAAAGAAAATCTTCAAAGCCAACGAGGTGTTCTTCACGGTGTCACCAACAGGCTTAGTGCTGTCACTAGTATCCTTTTGACAATTCCGTTGAAGAATTTCTTTTGCAACGTCAAAACTAGACAGGAATTGAAAAACCCATTCTTCATTGTGGACCCGCAATCTTATCGTTTATTTTCGATGTGGTAAGAAAATTATGGCGACAATGAATGTAAAGGTGTACCACGGATTAAGAGATAGGCGTCTTGGCTTAAGCAGAGAATGGTACCTCAGTTAGGAAGAGAGAAAGCGTCTTATTCGAGAAGGGATACCCTCTACTTTGAGGATAAGGATTGTGGCCCAAAACCTCTAGGAATCTTGCAGCTGCCATCGGAGGGTTTAGTGGATAGATGTGCCCCAGGCAAGACTTCGGCGCGGGTGCCACAGTTTGGTAAAGAAATTTTGTGTGATTTCCATATCATGTAAGAAAAACGTAGAATTCTCAGCACATGAACAGAGGGTAGATGGCTTAGCTGTCAAGACAGGGACGGCGGAGCCGGGGAAGCTGGGGTGGGGGCTAACCCCCCCGCCCAAATTTAAGCAAACAATACATAAAATAATAATTTTACAAATATCTCCAGACCCCATACGAGTTAGCGCCTCTGGCGCGCGCTTCTATGCCGCCCCAATTCAAAATACGCTCCGCCATCCCTGCAAGAGTGACCTTTTTCGTGACTGTTGTTTTGGCGACGCATACAAGAGGATAAAACACCAGGCGCTGTGTTAATTATGTAGTGTTTTTTTTTCTTTTTAATTAATTATGTTGTTTTTTTAAGTTGTTTTCCTTGATGTGTTTTTTAGATCGTTTCCCCGCATTGAACAGTTTAATGCAGCGTATAAACGTCAGGAAAAGACGGGACTCGATCATATTAGCCAGTGTTATCTCTATATGTATTATACTGATGCTCATATACGCGCTTGGATGAACATGACAATTACCCGAATCTATGGTTCCGATGAACAATGACGACAATCTCTCCGAAAATCCACCGAAAGATTATCGATAAGAAACACTCGGGCGCTGGTTGGTCAGTTCCAGTTTCCCCCACTGGCAGTGCATCTTTCCATAAGAATTGAAGTATTTATGAATTATTACCAAGTGGTTCTTTCTAAGAGAACCTGTGGCGTGTTTTTGACGACAAAGATGAATTTTAAGGGACACTGAGTAGGTCGAACACGGATCTGCTGGCTTTAAAGATAACAAGAAACAATTAAAATGCGAGTTTTCCTGTGCACGGCTTAGAAGATTAAGAAATCGGAGTATTTTCTCAACCTGAATAGAGACATAGAGATAAAGCGGTTTTGGACCCAAAGTATACTCAATCGCCATGTAGCGAAAATTGAAATTCTACACACTCCCGATGTTTTCAGGGAAGTCTATTACATTTCCACGTAAAGAACGATGGGAGGGTATGAGTAACTTGATGGCGTGGATAAAAACGCAGATATTTTTTTTTTTTGGATAAACTACAGAATTCAGGACCACTTTTGATCATCCCACCAAACGAGCCAGCTCGTTTGGCTCGTTTGCTCATTTGTCATCCACTGCCGAGCCAAGCGAGCCAAACGAGCCACTAAATATATGCACCCCAGTATTGTGTTATTTTCGGTTGTTTTAATTTCTTTATCGTGTGCTGACCATTGTCACGCAATCTAAGAGGTTGCGTGACCCGGAAAAAGAGCCACTGTGTGAAGAAGGGTTCTGTTCGCGTAGTGTTTGGTGCATTGTATGATGAGCGGAGAACAGCACCAGCCGAATGTATTGACAGTTGTTGTCTTCAGTATTTGTTGCAAATGACATGGTATTATTGATTGATGTGTAAAAGGCTGGCAATTTAATTGGGTAACTTCTTTATCTGTTGAAACGGACCGCGTGTTGTATCGAATAGCTTGAAATCGGCGAAACACAATTTTTGTTTTTTTGTTTTGCAGTGTTACTTTAAATTATTTAATGAACGACTGTCGGTGGAAAATGGTTTGTTTGGCAGTGCAAAAAAAAAAAAAAAAAAAATTCCCCAAAAAATCTGATATCAGAGGCAATTGATTTGTGTGTTTACTCAGTGTCTGTTTAATTTTCGCGTTGTCTTCGACACTTAATTTTCCCTTACCAATGGCTTGGTGTTCTTAAGAAATCAAGCAATCAAAACACGATAAAATGGAACCAGGATAGAAGTCAGTTTTTTAATTCAGTTCCACAACATCTCTATAACTGAGTGAGTACCGCGAGAGGCTGCATCTTGGCTGACTAATTTCAATCTGAAATGTTAAATTAAGAGAGAAATGTTCGAAAACATGAATCTAGAATAGCCTTTATCCTGGATTAGGAATGGCTGACAGATCTGCCGAGTACGTCAAAAATGTGACGCTGGTATAAAACCAGTTACCATTTTTGGTCACAATTGATTTGTGTAGTAATGGTATAAATATGTAAATAAATCAAAATTAAAGATCTGAAATCTGGTGGCATTTCAAATGTTGGCTTAACAAAGATGTGAGCATTTTAACAGGGTTNAAAAAACATCTGGCCTTATCAGAGGCCTCTCTCACACAGTGACACCAGAAGTTTTCTAATCAATTATAGATGCCTTTTAGCCCAATTAAGTTACTAAAGAAAGCTTTAACTGTCCACTAAGTATGTGAGTGAGTATTCACACAAGCGAAACATTGTCTCCCTACCTCTTCCCCAGGCGTCCCTCTTTGGTTGGAGCGCGGTGCCCGTGGAATTGTGGACTGTTTGCAGTTGAAAAACCCAACCTGAGCACACGGCGCACGTTCCTTGTTTCCCGCTCTTCGTTGGCGAAACGCAACGGCACGTGGGAACGAGGCAATCCTCCGTGGGAAAAAAGGATGGTGGCTGTATTTTTTACCACAAAACCTTGCGAAACCTAAACGTCCCATAAAGTACAAGGAAAGTCATATTTTCGCAATTTTTCCCTGTGCTAACAACATTCTATATACCGAGTTTGAAGATATTAAAACTTTTGTGAGTGCTTTTATGAGCGAAAAAAGTTTTCGTACCCTGAGAGTTCTTGGTAAATGTAGTAGTCACCATCTTTTTTCCTACGGAGGATTGTTTCTCAGTGTTCTTTTTCCTGTCGTGAAATATAAAGACCCTGAGAAAGAGGGTGTCGTCACGCCATTTCTGCAAGAACGCTACGTAAGCGTTTGCTAGGGACTTTCTCCGACATGTGTGATCTATCACTATGTATTCGCGACTCGCCAACTCGCCTGGCCCTAATTCTTGTTCCTCTTCTTTACTAGTCTGTTCTAGTCGTTTGGTTAGTTGGAAAGCAGCGCCAAAAGCGGCATGGGAAAAACTCAGGGTTAGGGGAGTAGAATGGTGCAGGAAAGCGCCCTAACCCACGCCACTGTTTTTTTTCTTAAACTGTTTTTCGGACTGCTCCCCAACTAACAACGCCTGGCACACCTACCCTCGGATTGGGAAATAAAGTAGAACTTGATCGCCGGTTGCTGGCTTTGCGTAAGAAACAAAACTTTTCCTGCCGTTACTCTCAAACGTTAAACATGATTCCTTTGAGCCGTGATAACAGAACTAACTAGCACAACGCTTTTCCGAGACTGCTACGCGCGTACACAAATCCCGGGGTACTCCTCTATTTTGGCTATTAATATAGGTGTGGGCTTCCCCAAAGGGTAGGGTTTTTAGCTGTTTTGGTCTGAATTTTTTTTATTACCATTTTGGTCTGAAATTGGATGTTTTTCACTCTGGCTTGGCACTGAACATTTTGTTTACAAGGAACTATCTTTTCGCGCCAACATTGTTACCGTTCTTAAATGTTTACGCAGATGGAAACCATTTCTGGTTGACTGCCTCATATAATAGAGCCGTGTAGTAATTTTAGAGGTCCGAAACTTGGTATTGATTTTTGGCTCAGGTCTGAAATAGGCTATGGAAAATCACAGATTTTGGTCGGAAATAGAGTACAGGTTTCAGGGTTCGGGCCACTTATCGCCAATCAAAACTTCAGGGAGTACCATCCCGGGACACGAATAAATAAAAGCATGTTAAAGCAAAAGATAACTTTAATTTTTCTCCATATAAGCAATTCAAATTCGTCAATGTTAAATCTATTAAATAAGATGGATCAGGAAAAAAAGAACTCCGAAAATAGATTTATAGTCCAATGTACTCTGTATATTTACAACTAAGCGTTCTGCTAATAAATTTTCTTTCCTCTTTGTTAAAAAGCGCAGCCTCATTGTCCTGATTCGGCTGCACGTACAGAGTAGTGGGTCATACTATGTCCTCTTGCGACACATCCAGCATGTCGGCTGCGAAGACAAAGAACACAAATATAGTTACTTACAGGAATTTAAAAGTTGCGTCAATGCACACATCCAAACTGAGAATCCACGAACAAAGTCAAGTAGTCTCTTCCAGGCGCTTAGTTAGTTGGGGCGCAGGGCGAAAATTGGCACACGAAAAAAGAGGGGAGAAGCACCTCGCACCAACCCTCTCTCCTGTATTTCGCTCCGCTTTTTGTTTTTTTCGCACAACGCACCAACTACCTGAACGCGTGGAAGAGGCTAGAACTCAAGTATCAGCTTTAGTATGGATAGGATTAAGTAAGAAGTTAACAGGTTTAATTTCCATCCCCGACTTCAAAATGCCTTATCTCGCACTGCTTACTTATAAACTAGGTAATTTTGCGAGACAAAGGATGGTGTTACTTGAACTTAAATTTCATTTTTTTTGTTTCAGTTTGTAATGCAATACACACGTTCATTGCATCCGAACTTCCTTATCAAAGAGGACAGCTTATGAAGGCTGCCTAGGGTCATGCTCCTTTATATCTAGAGGTTATTCATGATTTTTCGTATACATGTATCCTTTCCCATGTGGTTTTATAACTCCAAAGTAATGTGAAAGCTTCAAAGTAAGCTGATTTAACTCTTGTTGGGGATTAGATATAACCCCCTTCTGGCCCGGGATGTTCAAAAGATGGATAACGCTATACTTCGGATAAATCACTATCCAGCGGATAGCGTGTTTTGCTTTCTTAAAACTTATCCAGTGGATAGCGATTTATCCGGTGGATAGCGTTATCCAGCCTTCGAACAGCCGGGGTCTAAAAAAGATCAAAAGGGAGAAAAGCTTACCTGTAATTGGAGCCACTACCACAACCTGGTGGGTGTAACTTTTTCTTTCCTCGTATGGTGACATATATCCTTGCGAACTAACACTCCTTAGAGACGCTGATGAAGCGCGATTTTCGGAGTCCGTTCTCAGTTCTTGTAGAGATATACTATTCCTTTCTAATTGTCCTTGCGAAGACGATAAGTTCACTACAGTACATGACTGAGAATTGCTTTCATTGCTATCGGCGCCAGTGGATAAATTTTGCGTTGAATTGTGTGTTGGAGTTTCGGGTATGTATTGCGCTATACTACTCATTGATGAACGAATGCTATCCGCATTAGACAGACATCTCCCGCAACGTCTTGTAAACCAATGACGAGCTCTCCTTGGCTTATTTGTTGTCCCCTCTCTCTCTGAAAAAAGAACAAACGAAGAGCTGTCAGGAAAACAACCATAGACCATAGAGTCTAGATGTTATCGCAAAATTCTTGAGACTCCGTTTGCGACTTTGCACGCCTTGCGTCTCCGATAAAACGGTAGCGCGCATTGGAAGAAAATCAGCCAATAGCAAGGCTTCTTTGCTGGCGTAAAAATTCAAAGATGGCGGACCGCACGTGTTGTTTTATTGCAAGAAAAGTAAGTGACATACTCACAAAAGTACTGTTTACACGTTATTTACGGTGACATAGAGGTAAAACTGAACCCATGTCTTCCTTACCTACTATATTGAGCATACACAAGGGGCATGTGTAATTTGATAACAGCCACGGGTCTACACAATCTTTGTGAAACTCATGCCGACAGGGAACTATTCTGACATCCTGGAAAAGGAACAAGGTTTATAGGGTTAGGAAAAAGCACTTGAGAACTGAGTCAAAAACCGTACACACTGGTTTAAAAACTGACCGTTAGATGCTAGTCTTGCTTTACAGTTGCTGGCTTGTTAAAATTATGTTCTCTCTGCACGGCTATGGGACACGGGCATGTAAACTTACTTTCAAAGGAATTTCAGAAACAAGATTTCCACTGAAGCTTTCTTTTCTTAACTGATTTTTTTGCAACATTTTGAGAGGATCTGAAGCATTTTTAAAATGTGTGCTTTTTTCACTTGTAATGGTCCACATTGTGTATGTAGATGTTCACTTATGAATGGGACCATACAATCCAACATCAGATAACCCTAAGAATGCACCAACACTTGACTAACTCAAACTCTAAGCTAACTTAAAGGAGCTCAGTCACGGTTTGCGCATATTGAAACGTTCAGCCTCAAGTGTTCAAATTTGTCGTTTGTAATCTGTGTTAATGTTCTTTATCCTTAGCCATCCTTGTTCCCTTATGGTTTATCATTATGTCTTTGGTGTTTTTCTATCTTACTGAACTGTTATTTTCAGGTTTCCTACCATTTAAAGGTAATTATCCTTAATCCTTTAAACTAATCCTTTCCCTAAGTTAACCTAAACCCTTCACACAGACCCAAATCCCGGGGAGAGGGACATCGATGCTTGTCAGAAAATTTTAATTGTGGTGATGACACCGTAACACCACTGCTTTTCATGAACCATTAAAGGTATGCAAAGCCAAGCTGAGGACTTACTATAAGCTAAATTTTGATATTACGTATAAAAAGGAACATGTAATTTACCTGGCCATCTTTAAATTTTTCTAAGCATATAACACACTTGGAATTGGTTCCATCAGACTGTGCTGACAGTGTACTCTCAGTGTCGCTAATGTTGCCATTTTCTTCTCGTGTACTTGACGAATCTGATGACTCTACATGGTACTTCCTAGTCTCCATTCTTGATAATGCATGTAAAGCCATTCTTGTGAGAGAGGACTATAACAAGAAAAAGTAAGCACACAAAGGTCAATAGAAGGCAATGATTTGTTGCACTCTGAAATAAGGCTTTATTGTGTGAGATCTTGGACTTTTATGTCCAATTTTAGTTTGGGACAACAGTTAATAAAATGGTCTGATTTGAGATAGAGATCCCTGTTACCAACATTCTATTGTCATAAATATTGTAGGACTTAAAATAAATTTATCACATCGATCTTACGGTAATTTGGCATGTGAAATACATGTGCAGGGCTATAGCTAGTAACAAGTAAACCAAGGCATTTGGCAAGTATTTTTGTTTTCATTTTTTGTTGTCTATAGTCATCATAAACACCCTAGAAACCTGGGATGAGAATTTAACCATAGACATTACGTCAGCCATAATTTCTCCATGGACATTGCCTCAGTTTTGTGGCTATGGCCCTGATATGGGAAATAATGGTACAAAATTTCATTTTAACTAAAAATGTCAAATTATACAAAGTCATGTACAGTGATGGAAAAGGTATCTTCAAAAGAAAAACAAAGGAAATATTAATTGCTAAGATTAGCATTTACAGCACAAACAGTTAAAATTATGATTCCTACCTCCTTTTGCTTTTGTCTCCATTTAATCTATAAAAAAGGAAATAACTTGCAATTACTGTTGATTTAAAACCTGACAGCTCTATGTTGTTTAAACCAGAGTTGGGATTCTCATTTCTAGAAAGCTGATGAGGCATACATGTATTTCAAAGTACCTATTACAGTGGAATCCTGATTTTCAAAATCTTATTTCAAATCTTCCAATTATTATCTGAAGCAAGGTTTTGTTTCCTTGGCTAAAATGTTGAGTGACATTGTGCAGTTCCAGACAATATCCATAGTACCCCACAGAAGGGAGTGGAATTTCCTGGGGGTAGGGGGTTGGGGTTCTGTAAGGCCAAAAAATGTTGCAAAATGTATGAGTTTCCAGAGGGGTGGGGTGGGGGGTCTTAGAAAAAATCCCTTCTCTGGGGAAGGTATGGATATTTTATGGAACTACACAATCTGCTGTGGAACTGGGCATGGCCACTATTCACATAAACTCAAAAATAAATATTCAAAATTCAAAAATAAATATTAGTTTGAAAAGCTAATTAACCTTTAAGCCTACCTTTAAGAGTAAGATAAAACAGATGATAGAGACCAGAATGAAAAAAGTCATGAAGATAACCATGTCAAAGTATTCATTGGAGGCTCTCTATAAAAGAAAAGGAAAGGTTAGCTGCAAATAATGTTAACAATTATTGGAAAATCTTGAGCAAAATATCATGATTTGTCAGGGGCAGGCAGATCAAGTATTTGCCAAAGCCAAAGACTCAAGCAAATAGTTGATCTGCAATAAGCTGACAAATCATGATATCTTGCAATAACTGGGTTCAATAATTTTTCATCATTTGATCACCAGGTTTGTTTGAATCATATTTAAATCACTCTCATGGCTCAGGGAAGCGATCTGCCATTTTTCACCCAAGAGCATGGTTGCGACCATGTACAAGCCGAACATTATTTGCGGGAAAACACATTTAGACAGTAATGTGCATGAACATGCCATTATTTGCAGGCAGTTATTTGCAGGTCACATGGTGGGCTCTTGAGCCAATGAAAATGAAGAAAATATGATAATGCCTAATCATTGTCACTGTGTTAATGGCAAAATTAATATCATTCAAAGGCAAAGCAATCCAGTCATACCTGAGGAGTGTAGCCTGCCACACTGTATTGAATTCTTGCCCTTGAAACTCTTTGGCTGTTAAGGGAGTAGAAGTAAATGTCAGAGAAAAAGCAGCATAACAGAAATCACCATGCAAGGAAACAAACACTAAACCTGGTTTAGTCTCTTTAAATAATATATCAATGGCAATTAACTTGTTTATGATAACAAAGGATTTTCAACACCGGTCCTGGTTAATCAAAGGATGTGTAATGCTATTTACTAGATAAATCAATATGAAGTGGCAAAATGTTATTAAAACTGCATAGCTTTCTACAAAATGTACTAGATTGTGGTTTATCCGATAGATAGTGTTATCCACTCTTTGAAAAACTAGAACTTGATCACTAAGATATATCCCCACAAATCTATGGACCATCTTAAAAAAAAATATTCATATGTACACTCTTCTTGTACCTACATTAATATATTTATATTTAGAAAATAGCTTTGCAAAACACTAGTAAATTAGCTTAAACCATGTTTCCATAACTCTATAGAAAAAATGTTTTCTTCAAGCTAACTGTTTTTAAGATACAGTGTAAAGAAAATACTTTGTCTTTGTTTCTAGAAAGTACTTTGTCTCTGTTTCTGTAGAAGTATAGAAGCACTTGTGATGTTGGGACAACTTCGCACAGTTGAGAAAATACAGGAAATGTTTTCTTTTTCTCATAGATATTGTACTTGAACTTAACCCAAATCCTGTTGTGTTTTTTGCCGATGAAGGGCAGCCAGCTATTTGAATGTTAACCAGGGTGGTAGCAAGTAAGATACATACAGAGGCATTTGTCTCGAACATTGCTTTTTGTTGTTTTTGTCATCATAAACCCCCTTATTACTTAGAAAGAGAATTAAACCATGGACATTGCCTCGGTCATAATTTTGTGATGGACATTGCCTCGGCCATAATTTTTTTCTGGCTACGGCCCTGTTAACTCATTTACGAAGTACTTAACCCTCATGCTTTAATATGTTGCATGATAATAATAATGTTGTGAATATTAAGTATCATAAAATGTTTCAGCAGTTGGGCAGTTTAAATTTATCATTTATTATGTACTAAAATTTATTGACCCATTTCACTTACTTTTTTACAATATTCATCAACTTCTTGGCATCCTTTCCATCCATTATCACCACAGGTCGTTCACTTTTGTCAGTTGCAGCATTTAACTGAAAAAAAAAAGAAAAAAAGAATAAGACATAAGGTAAAGTCTGCGTACCAGCCAAGTGGCCCATCAGGCTGGCACTTATCTACGGTTTCTGTAGCATATGGCACAACCACAGTAGGAGTATTTTTACCCTCCTCTGGATGGGATGCTAGTCCATCGCAGGGTAACGCCCCAGCATTAAATTTGCTAGTACCCATTTATACACCTGAGTGGAGAGAGGCACTGTAAGAGAGTCTTGCCCAAGAACACAACACAATGTCCCTGGCCAGGGCTCAAACCCAGACCGCTCCGCTGCCTACACAAAGAATATGACATAAACATGGTTAAACGTGATTAACAGTACTTGTTCAAGGGATGAACATGTTACATATAAGCCACATGTCACAGTCCTATCTTTCAGCTGGTACAAAGTTAGATGCTATTGTTGAATGACACTGAGAAATTTTCTTCAGTCACTTACCCTTGGCTGTAAGAGGGTCATACAAGGGGTTCTCTGGCATGGTTCACGAACAGAAAAAATAGAGGATCATGGATATAGAATTTTGTTTTCCCGAATCACGTAAATAAGCAAGTAAGACACTCTTTTTAATAACCTGTTCTTACACTAGAAAGAATGTTTGAAGAAAGCTAAATTGTGAAAGGCTAAGACTTTAAGTCAAGGCTCCATATTGCTGATTCACATGTCTAAGTCACTCTCGATAGACGACTCTAACCATTCGGAGGACTTGCATCTCAAAATCACATAGAACAGAGTGGTGAAATCACGAATATCGGTTAATAATTCAAGCTCACGGGTCGTGCAAAACCTTCAGATCATGGATCACAAAGCATAATGTCCTAAATTCAAGTTTCACAGAAAATAAAATCAGCTAATCACACATCAGGAGAATACCCCTGTACAACCCTCTATTAATCTAACAAGTTGAACTAGTTACACTGGTTAGTTTGGCCTCTTGGTTTATGATCACAATATTAGTTAAGTATCACCTGAATTAGGATATGATTACTCTCCTGTTGCCCTAGTTTAGATATGATTAGCGATAAGAGAATTATCTTGATGTCTGGTGCCCCACCTAATTATTAAATACTCTGAAGAACAATTGGCACAGTTTACAAAAAAAAAATGAAACATCATAGAACTGTTATGGTGTACAGACCTCAAATACAACTAATTAATGCACGGCTAAACTTATAACTAAGTCCTGTCAAAACACTGAAACTTATTTGATGCAAATAGGACACAGGTAGTCAAATGGACTCATTTAAAGGTCTCTACAAGTGACAACTTAATCATAGAAGACACATACTTTCGAAAAAAAATTGAAACTGTATTAATGCAAACATGGAAAAGTGTAATTTGTTAGCAAGAAACAGATACGTATTGAAACTGGACACCCTATGCTAGGACACACGATGGGTTTAATGACTTAAACCTCTGTTGATGTAATATTTATGATTGTGGTTTATCATCCTGTAAACCCGGCCAAGTGGGTGTTTGTTTGATCAATGCCACAGGAAAATCAGAATCTCTTCTATGTCATGTGAGCACAAAATTTATGATTTGGAGCATTGGACAGAGCTGTTAATAGTTTCATTAAGGATGCATTCTTTTAGGATTTTCTGGATTAGGATCAATGATCAAAGATCATTCGGATCATGGGGCCGGTTTCTCGAGAGCCCTGCAGCTTTTCTGGCGCACAAAGCCATTTTTAGTTAATCTGTATCTAAAAACAGAGAGGTGTGTACACCTGAAACGTCTTGTATGAAGAGAACCTCTGTTCATATTTAGAATATGTATATGTAATAGGACTACATGCTGTCCAATTTGGAAATAATTGGATGAAAAAAAATTGCGAGGACAGCCAAAATTGGACGAGGCTGCAGGCCAAGTCCAATTTGGCTGTCTGAGGAATTTTTTGAATCCAATTATTTCCAAATTGGACAAGCATGTAGTCCTGTCACTTATTAATTATATAGCTTGTGAGGTAATACAGCTTTGCAAGGAAAACTACAGTAACTGTCTCTGAAGAAAAACAGACTGGGCCCTTGATCTTCCGAAACTTGGGAAAGCTTTGAAAATATCCGGTGATCTTCAGAGATTGCCGGAGATTGTCACAAGTCTTCAGAAATCCTGGGAAGTGTTCGCATGATCTTCAGGTGATCTTCGGAAATCTTTGAAAGTGTTCGGGCGATTTTCAGAAGTACTCAAGTGATCTTTGGAAATCTTCAGAGATGTTAGGGTGATATTCGGAAATCTTTGGAAGTGTTTGGGTGATCTTCAGAAGTCTTTGGAATTGTTCGGGTGATCTTCAGAAATCTTCGGAAGTGTTCGGGGGATCTTCAGAAATCTTCGGAAGCGTTCGGGTGATCTTTGGAAATCTTCGCAAGGTTTCGTGTGGCCTTCGATAATCTTCGGAAGGTTAATAGCTTAATTTCATTGGCTGAGACAAACTGTCCTATTTTTTCCCAAATTGGACAGTTTCTGCATTTTTACCCAAAGTCCTTATTGAAAACTGTCCAAATTAAATCCCAAATTGGACAGTTTTCAGAAATTAAAGGATAATAGCTGTGCTGACAATACTGGATTAACTGACTGCTATATAATTAGTGAATAAAACAGCTCTGTAATCATGAGATTTGAGATTTTGCTACAGCTTTTCGGGACCTTTGAGAAATGGGCCCCTGATGTGTTAAAAAAAAACCCTGATGAATCACTCCCTGCCAAAGATTCACTGGTTCTTGTGATGCACCATGGTCCAAGTGATCTTGGATCACTAAACCTGATCCAGATCATCCCAAAGGAATGTAGTACCCTTTGTTTCTTTTATTTGCAATGATATGAAGTGTTATTCCCCCTACTGATGTCCAACATTCAGTGTGATTTTATTTGGGAGAATTTGTAATTCTGATAACTCAAACCAGAAGTTAATTGTTTCCCTCCTCTCAGTCAAACACTGTAATTTTACCCCTGATTTCTCAGACTATTTTTCAAAACAATTTTAATTTCCTTTGGAGATTAGAAAAAGCGTGATTCCACTACACATGGCAATCAGTATGAATTGTGCTCTTGGGGATGAAAGACATATGGTACATGCCATCCTTTGCAACATATATATAGCAAATTTAAAGAGTTTCTCATTAGTGTAGAAATCAAGTCTATTGTCAGTTATTTACCTCTGTTGCAGCTTCTGGATGATCTGTGATATCAAATATAATAGCTGTTGCTCCCCGTTGCATTGCTCTTTTGACCTGAAGAACAAAGCATTAAAGCAATTAGAATAAAACTTTAATTTGTGCATTGATGAAGTCAAATAACCTCATGTGGGACTGGATGAACTTTGTACTGTACAAGTACATGTGCAACTCATTTGTTTAATGTTTTTCTATGGTAATTTTGTATCTGCAATGCACTTGCCAGTGGAAAATCTCTACCAAGTAGGCATGGTAGATTTTAAAACATAAATCATTACAACAGGAAAACAACTTAAGTGGGTAATTAGAGGGAGGTGCAAGGGATGTTTTCAAGCAAGGCACATTTACACTTTTGATTGTTTTGGGCACACATATGGTTTACATAAACCTATGATTTATTCATGATGTTTTTCTCATTAAATTGGGATGATGCTTCTCCTCCATGTAAATCGATAGTCTTGTAACACGACCGTGGTAACACCCACATTTTAGAGGTATTAGCCAGGGCAGGAATTAACCAGGGATTTGTAAGTGCATCAAGGCAACACCCTTAATGATGTTTTTATCTTCCAGGTGCGGGAATTAATTTGGAATTGATTGCACGCTTTGCTCAGCTTGGAAAACAGGGCTGTTTATCAAAGGTGCAATAAAGGTAAATAAATTACTCAGCTAGTGCAATTAAAAATAGGTTACACATAAGTTGTTTTGAAGCTAGTGTGTATTTTTTTGTAATTCTACTTTTCCATGTGGGATATATAAAAGCTATTGAGGTCTATCTTCGTAGAGAGATAACTCTGCTGAGGATCAATTTTTTTTAAATGCAGCTTCAGTATAGCCTGAACAAATAAGGCTATTTGCCAAAAAAAAAAGAACCGCTTAACAAGGTTGGGAAAAAATATATTTTGTCAGAGTTTGTAAAAAGCAATCTTACCTTCTCAACAAGCGGAACCTTTATAACTTGCTCTACCTGAAACAACTTACACAACCTGTATTTTCTCTGTTTCTCTTTTTGACTCTTGTTTTTTATTCTTAGTCCAAATTAGACAGAAAATATTTTTAATTTGGACGAACTTGGTGAGGGAGAATGAAATCTACATTTCCATGTGGGATATATAAAAGCTGGTGAAGTCTATCTTCATAGAGAGAGAACTCTGCTGAAGAATAATTTTTTTAAATGCAGTTTCAGTATAGCCTGAATAAATGACGCTTTGCCCAAGAAAATGAACAGCTTAACGAGGTCGGGAAAAAAAGTTATTTTAAATTGTCATAGTTTGAAAAATCAATCTTACCTTCTCAACAAGCGTAAAGCATGGCTCATTGAGACTGTCTGGAGGCGTAAGTTTGACCACGCCAACCCAGCCATATTCATAAAGATCGCCATCCTCAGATGTATTACACAGCCCCAATGGGTGAATCTGGTAGAGAGATGATTGAAAAAGGGTTTTAATATCATTGTGTACAGAAAGAGTTAATACATACAGTTGAACCCCACTATTTTGAGCCTTCAGGAGAAACAAAAAATAGTTTAAAATAGTGGGAGTTCAAAATAACTGATAGTAGATTAGTGAAGGGCAAATCCAGGGAAATGATTTTGAGTTTGAAATAACCAAGTTCGAATTGGCGGGGTCCAACTGTAATTTGTAATCTACATGTACCCCTTGTGAAGTCAGACATGATCGCAAAGTCAGACACCTCTTTTAACTGAATACAAAATAAGCGCGAATAAACCTCTTGTATTTATTTATTTATTTATTTATTTTTTAAAAAGAGACGTATGTACAGGAAAAAAATCTCTTGCATGATTTGGGCCAAAACAAGAGAGTTGTATAGTTTTGTCAGGGAAAAATTTCACAAGCTGAGTTTTGCAACCTGCACAATACACAAAGTTTTAGAAATTTTTCTGCCTATAAGGAGGGATTTTTAAAGACTAAAATGCGCCTGGCAGTTTTCATTAATTGCAAAGATTCAACTGTAGTGCAGCACAGTCTCTTAGAAACTCTTCAAATTAACCATACTTTTCTGGTAATAATAGGAAAAATTCGTGGAAAATTATAAAGATTGGTGTCCAGTAATTAAAATTGACTTCTCCCCTATTTTTTACTAGAGCCACATTCTTTATTTCATATGGAGACCACGTTAATTCAGTATAAATTCAGTATAAAGTTGTTATCTATATGTTGATTCTACTTCACATGTCATTGGCCATGAAGCATGCATACTGTTTTCTATTTTATTTATTTTTTTCTCTCTAAATTAAATTAAGTGAATGCTGCGTTCAAGCTTTGACACAAAAGGCACCCATACTGTTGTTAATCAAAAACCACTGATATTAAACGAAGGAAAAAAATAAATGAATGGATTGCTTTCTTTGTCAAGAAATCTAATTTTGCTGTCTAAATAGCTGAAGAAATGAAAACGGTGTTAAAGTTTTAATCAAGGACTGCAACTTCACAAAAAGAGGGGTGGTCGGAATTTTATTTTCATTTCGAGCGCAAACATCCTTGCTGCTTCACACAGGGGTGACGCAAACTTTAATACAAAGGTTATAATCAAAGGAGGAACCGAATTTAAAAGACCAAATTGATAATGAAATTTTCCCAAGCACGTTAAAGATTTCGCTGTTTCGTAAAGTTTTCCAAATTTTCAAAGTAGCACAGTTGGTTTGTGATCTGAAAAGTAGAACCTCGTAAGAACTCGACACGCAGGCATGATTTCGGTGCGAAGAAAGTGAGCAAATTAATGGCATTGGTAATAAATCAAGGACCCTGGTTACACAAACATATCGGAAACAATGTTTACACAACAAGCCATAAGAACTTGATAAAGATTTTAACGGCGAGCACCGAAACAACATGCCGTCTTTCACAAAACGGCTCAAATTACAAAACACCGAGAACGGAGAAAACTCGAACTGTCGACCTGGATTTTAGGTTTTTGCGCGAAACCGGCGCAGAAACCGCAATAAGCGAACGTTTAATTACAAAGTCAGTCGGGCGAATCGGTTGCTTCGCACTTGCGTTCAATTGTGAGGTCAAATTTAATTTGACCAGGAGGGGCCGTAAATGTGCAGAGGCCCATGGTAGACAATTACTTTTCCTCTGGGATCAATTGAACTGCGAAAATGGCTATTACGAAATTACACACTTGTACAGCTTTCGAGAGAAAGGGCTCGCGTTCGAAGTTTTTCCTCTTCGCACAAGTTCACCTCCAGTCCTCATTACACGCACACTTAAACAAAATCCGTCCTTGAAAGATTGTTTTCAAAATAAAGCCCCCTCGAGCAATTATTCCGATAGCCATGTAATTATTTGAAGAGCTTCTATAAATACTAAAACAGGCATTTCAGTCTTTCTAAGAATTCTGGAAAAGCTCTTTGTCCAGCTGTGAGACTCCGCGATGGAAAATCTTAAATTCCCTGCCCTGGAAGCGCAGAAGAACAACTTTTTAATAACGTCGCCGTCAACAAAAGACCGGCCATGATACACATTGTTGTTCTGGGCGCTGATAAGCAGTGTTATTGTTTTCCCTGCTATCAGTACATCACTCGAACTGATTGACTTAATCTTCTCAGAGGAAAACGTCGCGAAACCCGAAATCACGATTGTCAAAGGGTCTTTGAGAAAAACGCTCTGGAAAAGCCATTAGTGTAATTAGTCCGAGCAATCAGCTCGGCTTCCCTACAAAGTTTAGTCTAGAGATAAAACTCTTGAAAAAGATGTTCCACGCTCGCCGAAATATTGCATATTTGTACGCGGAAATGACTGGCGAGGCGATAACTACCGGCCACAGAGATAGAGCGGTTCCGATGAACGGAGCGAGAGGCCGTTTAGTGTTGTTTTATAAGGCCAACATTTGAGAAGAAAAGTGCGACAGTCGCCCCAAGCGACTATTTAGCGGACAGATAACACACGTGTTAGATCGCTTACTCGCTCTGCGAATTGTCTGGTGCAAAACAAGAGAAAACACAAAAAGGCACCAACAAAAATATTAAGTACCGGCAGTTTGCTACATTGTATAAAAACAAAAAGTGAAGTCAAAAAAGAAAAAGAAAGAAAGAAAGACAACTTTTGCGTATTTTGTGTTGATATAAAAAGATATACGACTAATAGAGTTCAACTCATTAAGTTTTGTTCAATAAAAAGCAGTAATATAGTCACTAACAATGAAGAAGTCCTATGAAATTTCGATCAGCCCCGTTGAGAAAAGAGGGTTTTTTCGCCCCAAATAACACAATTCAAAAGGGTGAGAGCCAGGCAACGTTATAGTATTTTAGTAGTTACACCTAATTGTCGGTTTTATTAAAGCGATAAGCCTTAAACTGGTCAGTGTCCGAAAAACAAACTACACTCTCCATTTGCCATGCTCCGAATTGATTTTCCGCCGGCAATGTTAGACTTGATATCCAGTATATCGGTTCACGGGAGCACTTAGGAGCTTTCAAGTGGAAAACTAAAAAGGCTATCAACCCTTGACTGATCGTGACTACCAGTCCCTTATGGAAACGCCGCCTCAACAATAACGATCTAAAACGCTAAATGACTGTCCTCGTTTTAATTCAAGACCTTCTAGCTCCTTTAATTACGTTGAGCCAGCGGCAATAAAAGCTTTGTGTCGGGCCTGAATTGTAATTGCAAGTATTGTGCGCGCAGTCCCTCGGTGAATAAACACAACGTATTATACTCTTCGTGAGAGTAAGGGAAGTCACAGGCAGTCGACGCCGCTTTCGTTTGCTTTAATGACGTGCGAGCCACATTTTCTGTCACGTTTCAGGTTTTTGCGGTTTTAGCGTAAAGCCCCTCTTTTGTTTGCGAAACAGAGAACAAAATCTAATCATCACCCTACAAGAATACGAGGCGTGCTGTAAGTGGAATTGTATAAAGCGTCGATATTTTTGAAAGACAAATTAATTTTGGATTCGAACCAGTGTGCGCGCGGAGCATGAATTTATTGGGGGGGTTCAGGAAATTAAATCGCGACGAAGAGTTCTGAGATTTCTGAGATTCCAAAGATTGATGTTCTCTATAAACATTAGTAAAAGTCCAGTAATCCAGCGACTAGTCTGTTGTGTAAGCAAGGAGGCTTTATCTCGGTCGAGCACGCAGGCTATTTGGCCATCGAAGATCCTATCTGTCAACCCCGAATAGCCATAAACTCATCTTCAAAAACGATAATATGCTGTTCCAGACCCTAGACCCGGTTTCAATACACACGGGTCAAGTGCTTCGAGAAGCTTTGATCGCAGTTTTACAAAGTGCAGACGGAATTTCGATTTGAGATTAGAGCGGAACCCGCGCAAATGAATAGAATCTCGCTGTTTTTTATTTGCTACCGGAGTCATTGCTGAAGGAATTAAATGATGAGGGGGTTGCAAGGCCGCTTGTGTTCCGCAAAGAAAAGAGGAAGCACTTTTGAGGTGAAAATTAGCTTCATTCATTGCCTGTCTAGTGAGGCAAGCGCGCTCTTGAGCTCAAAAGGCTTCGTATTTCCGGCATGCAAATAAATGTCGCTTCGACAAATCTTGCCGAGAGTACACAGAAGTGACCTATCGACCCCTTCCTTTAGAAACATTGGCGTGTTTAAGAGGAATACTTAAAGCTGTTCAACCCGAGCAAACGATAAAGCAAAGCCTGGATAAATCCGAGGGAACGCACACGCGAAACCAAAACATTCCGCCGCTCGCAAGTCGGAAACCAGCACAATGCGATTAAAAAACTTCAAGGTAATTGATTACAGGCTAGCGAAATACAGTCACGTCCGTCCACATTGAAGCTACTACACATACAAGCGCTCGTGTATTTTTCAAAAATAAACACAATAGATCGCCGTGCCTCCAAATCGCCAAAAACGGAAAGGAAGGAATTAGTCAGAGATAAAAGAATTGCCCTCGATCTTGAGCGCGATCGCGCGATCGAAACCACGAGCAAATTTCTCGTGAAGTGAAATGAACACTTGTAGATTGCGCTCGTACTCAACAAAGGCGAGCAGTATTAACTCGGATCGCGGACAAAAACGGTTTTCTCTCGTGACAGCACTTGAGTGTAATTATAATTATGGCAAGACCAATGCCAGGGCTTTCAATGAAAGCGATCGTTGTACTCATTAAATCGAGCCAACAACAAGTGAAGCGTCGCACTTCAATATGTCATGCATGCGGGGGTTTTTGACCGGCTCTAGGTAAACAAATCGAAAATACTCCCTCGGCAAGATCCCACGCTAAAAAGGAATATTGTCAAAAGTACAACTTCTCCGAAGCGAATTGAGATAAACAAAACCGCAAAAGAGTGGCTGATCGTGGCAGAAATTTGTTCGCCTTCGGTTGGTGTTAAGCCAAAGCCTCCGCTGAACATTTTAAGTAGCAGAAAGCTTACCTCAAGTATGTCCCCTTCGGCGCTCGTGGCAGCTCCTGCGTTTGAAAACTTGCCTTCCAGTTCATAAGTATGCGTTGTGTAATCCCCTCCAGAAGAATGCTCGTAAATCACAACTTCCACAAGAGCTTTCTCGAGCGCGAGTGTCACACTCGGCCACGCGTGAAGAAGCACTAACAGCGGCCAAGCGAGCGCCGAGAAAATTTTCATCGCAAGTCCAGGCAAAATTTACTAGTAACTCTGTGAAGTTTGGTCCAATTCAGCGCTAGAGTCGATTCAGCATTGCCGTGGACGAGCACGGCCGCGTTGCTTGTTATTAAAGTGTTCCTCGACCGCAGGACCGCTTAAGGAGGTGATTCCTTTGGGGGTAGTCGCTGTTTATGGGCACAGTTGAATATTACTCGTGTGCTTTTTGTTATTGTTCCAATGCGCACCGCGCCGCTGCTTCTGCTGCAAGCTGACCGCCACAAGGACCGCCTCTGTCTATCAATCACTTAATCTGTCAAAAAATAATTAAAAAATCATTAATGGTTTGGCCTGGTGGATTAACTTAACTTTTCCCGAATAACAAAGTGCCTCGGACGCCCTCAATCGGCTGACTCGGCTAAATTGGCTGAGCAAATGTGTCTATTACCAACAGCTCACAAGAACCTTCATCCAATGCCTCACTTAACCAGTTGAAAGCGCACCGCTGTTCAACAAAGGGACCGAGTGCGAAATATTAAAACTTGCAAAGGCGGAGCTTGGAAAGCTCTCATTTATCTGCCCTCTTTGTGCGTTTTTTATTGCAATGCTAATTAAATAATCCGAAGAGAACGGAGAGATCGTTCTTGAAAACGGACCGACCGGCTTAGAGCCTTTTACGTTCTGCCGTGTCATTGTGCTGTAAAGTTCCGCAGTGTTTGGTGATTGTTCATCGTCGTTCATTACGCGAGGGAGGTTATTAAAATATCAATGTTTCTCCTAAGCGGATTTTATGCGTTTTACAAAATTTCACTAGCTACCAACCCTGATGAGCTTGTATCCTTTCCTGTTGTTTTCATTTCTAAAAAAAAAATTAAAAAAATCAAACAAAAATGCGTGGAAGGCAAAGTTTCTGTAACTCTCTTTGACCTAAGTTTTTCAGTGCAAGTCTATATGGATATATATATATATATATATATTTTTGCTTGACAATTTACCCATAGAGCCATTTTAATATTTTATGGCTCAGTGTCCTTTGCTGAAAACCGCTCCAATAAAGCTCTGGGAAATATAATTGAGCCAAGCCGCGCGTTGGTGAATAGCCGTCGTTAATTGAAACTTTGTTTCACCGCAATAGCCCTAATAACGACAGGAAAATAACATTATTGCCGACGAAATTAACGTGAACAAGTTCCGACCCGTTCCGAAATTTCAATCCCGCGAATAAGCTGCGCTAAGCGCTCCTGACACGGTGTGTTTCGTTGTTGATTGCAAGTGAAATCGAACCCCGAGGGCCGGAGTGGAAAGAAGTACTATGAAAAATCTTGAATAAACACCGTCGCCGGGAACAGACGATGCACTAAATATTCATTCGGCCAATTTATTGTCTAGCGACTCAAACCAACAGTTTTTAATCGCCCATTTACAGCGCGACATGTGGCACATTAGGTTTTAAAAGAGGCGTGAGGCGCTTTCAGCGCGTATTTTTGCTCGCTCTTCGGTCTGTCGTTGGATAAATTTACGCTCGCTTTCTCGCTCTCAAGTGAGATTTGGACGTCCAACTTCTGTGTAAATACTCTAATCGAGCTCACTCGACATCGGAAAATCGAACCCAAATGTTGGCACTCCGTCACAAGGGAAAAATTCGCGCGGGAATTTATGATGAACATAAAGAAAACAGTTTCAGTAAACAAATTACTTTTAAAAGAGCTTTAAAATGAGTCACCGCAGTTGCGCTCATAAATATGTTGCGCTAAAGTATGACGAGTCCAATTCCTTCATTTGTCGCCCAGTTCAGTTGAACAGGTTTTTAAGAGCGCTAAGTTAATGAAAAAGGCTAATTACGCAGGGTTCGAAATTAAATTTCACACCGCTCTGACACGGAAAGTGGAAGTGGTTCAAGTAACATGGCAGTAAAAAAAATAAGCGAATTCATGCATTTTTAAGTTTATTAATTGCTGAGCGCAGTGGCGACGCCGCGGTGTCTCGAGTTCACAAGCTTTGCGTTTTATCCAATACTGTTCTGTCCATTCCTGTTAGCTCTTCAAAATTGAGCGATTTTGTTTAACAAATTAGTTTGGCAGCTTGGGTGATGTAATGCTCAAAAGGCTGTTTTCAGGGTTTTATGCTACGTGACTTTGTAAAGGAAGTTGCCCGTGAGGTTGAGAAGTCGTGTTACTGCTTTAGATGGTTTCATCGGTTTGGTATATTGGCCTGTTATGGGTCTGTTATCTTGACGCAAGCGGACTCGAGTTACGTTTTCTTTTGTCCGTTTTCCTCCGCAAACACTCAAATGGGCGCACTGAATTAGAAAGTGAAGGAAACTTTATAGCGCCCCAAATAACTCATTATCTTAAGAGAGCGTGTTATCGAATTGATGTGCGCTACAAAGGGCGCCGATATTTGCCCGTTTTGGCTTTCTTCCGATGGATTAAAATAGCGAAGAATTAATAAATTGCCAAGAAAAAGCGAGCTGACTTCAAGGTTGCTTGACCGTGAGGTATTTTCCTCAAAATAACACAGGCACACGTTTGAAATTCTGGATAGTTTTAACAAGGAAAACTGTAGGGAGTTGATCGGCGGGCGAGCGGAATGTTCATCAAAAAGGTGAATGATTTTCCCATAAATTTTTTAAATTGACTATCGTTGCCCAAGTGCTTCCTTTCGGCAGAGCTTGGCTCGTCTAGACCGCCTGATTGCCTTCCTTCGCTAAGCAAACAGTGGAAAGTTTCATACGAATTCGCCGGTTTTGAAATCACTTTGCGGTTTCATCGCCCGAGCTGCGCGCACGAAACATGACGTTGAACGTTTTGTTTGGTCCTTTGACTTGTTATTTCTTTAAACGGTTGTAAGAGCTGTTCAATCGAGCTTATGCAATTTTAATGACCCCAGTTATCATTTGAATTACATTTTGAAAGACCCAATTGCACTCTAAGCCGAAGCGGGCTGTTCTAAATAGAGTCGGTTTGTTTTGTGTTTACTTGGCCATGGGACGTACCTTTGGATTAAATTTGTAGAGTTCTGTTTAGACATAATCTTTTTTTTTTATTCTGAAAAAGAATTGCTCTAAACTGAATATCGCCCAGCCGAGTCGCGGTACTTGACTATCAAACATCGCTTAACGACTTTGTCAGATTTTGTTTCAAGTGACCATTGCCGTCTTGTTGCTTTTGCGGGAAACGATAAAAACCCATCAAACAATCGATCAGGATTTCCTTATTAGTTCATCACGTGGTTTCGTTTCACAGCACAAACTTGAAAATTCCGAAATACAAAACCTCACCTTGAGTTTTAGAATCATCGCTGTGCGTGTTTACGTCTATATTTTCGGCTTGTTCCTCTCTGTCAGTTAGAAGCTCAAACTGTAAAATTATCGCAAGTGATTGCAATATATTTCTTGTCTTGTTATGTTTCATGTGGAAGTTTAAAGGACTGTAGAACAAGCTCCAGTTAGAGAACTAACGGCAGTCCGGTGGGGTACTCCCTTATATGGGCTATAAAGGCTATTTATAGGGTATGGTCTTTGAGACCTTTGGTCTGAAATATTGTATGGTTTGTGCGCTTTGGTTTTGAATAAGTATATTTTTAGAAGAAGCTACTTCTTTATCATTGTAATTACGACTATCAACATCGAGAACGTTCAGCTCAAATTAGGTTTACACTAACCGTGTACATACCGCAACGGGCGCCANTAATACGCGATAGAAATCGCGAGCTTATAATCTAATTGTTTATTGTAAAATGCAACGTTCTCTCGCGGTATATCACGGAATATTCCACTTATCACTTGTGTTTTCTTGGTACACACTTAAGTCTCGTGTGTTTACCGAGAAGACACAAGTGACTCGTGAGATAGTCCATTGTATACCACTCGAAAACGTTGCATAACTAGTGTTTATAATATAGATAGGACCCTGCGCACGCTCTGATTGATGTTTTATCAGAGAATAAAACAGAAAAAGCGTGTTTTATTGTTTTTCGCCACATTACCTCTATATCATGAAGCAAATGAAGAAGCCTAAGCCGTGTATTACGCTGTGATAAAACACTCCGGGCATTTGAGAACACTTAAGAAATGTAGAAAACACTCGCCTGCGGCTTGTGTTTTCTATATTTCGTTTGTGTTCTTAAGTGCCTGTCGTGTTTTATCACAGAGTGATACACGGCTTAGGCTTCTTTATTTGTTAAATAAAAAACAACACAGTGCTAACCTAGAATGTTTCCTTTGCACAATGGACAGGTCCTCTTTGCCAGCAACCAACGATCCACACATTCACAATGAAACTCGTGATCACACGGCAGTGTGCGAACCAGCTGCAATAAAAATATAAAGTACTAACTAGTTTTTACAACATTTTCTTAGTTGCGTGTCTGGTTTACGCATTTGGCTTCAAAGGAGACCCAACCAATCACGGAAAGCATCCTGTTTTTTTTTTTTTTTCGACCAATCAGTCCAATCATGACGTGGTTCACTGCGTTTTCTCGCCCTTGGCATCTGCATCAGATTCTGATTGGTCAAGAGATCCGCGTCTCTTGGATTGTTTCATGAATTCTGCGGCTTCAGTTTTCTATGATTACTTACTCAAACTTTGATATTACACTTACAATCGTTTTGATACTTCAGTCTAAACATGGAGAAAGGGGTTTAGCAGNTTCTTAAGTTAAGCTATTGTTCTCAGAGAAGTTCATTGAGGTCAGGTACAATATTGAAATTTCTTTCTATATTTTGTCATTTTGCAGCTGGTTAGTTAGTCATCTTCGTCCACACTTGAACATTCAGTTTCCTGTAGTTAACTCCACAAAATGAGGGAGTATTTCCTCTTAGAACAAATGTCTCATGCTGTGACATGTTTCCTTTACCTGATGCAAAAATTAAGAAACTACTACGCTGTAGGAATTTTATCAACTTATTCACCTCAGAACTCTTTTCAGGATTTCCAAGGCAGACAACTCCTTCCCATCCACTGGGCCGACCACAGGTAGCCCATAGTGTTAATGTGGACAACAGCTACAGAGTATCAAGAAACCATCATCAGTTGACTTCAAATTCCACACGAAACATAAACATAAACATAAAAACCTTTACTTTGACACGATAAGAGTTAAAGCTACAAAGCTTGTGGGGTCATGTATACTACTGAACTAAACTACATAAATTGAAATGTATACATGTAAAATACTAAGATCAAAGCATCAATCTGGAATTCCAGAAGCAAGATCTGGAATTCCCTTCCTGTCACAATCACTTCATTTCATTGTCAAGTTTTCCCAATTTTAAGAAAAAACTGCAAGAGTTTTTAGTAAAACAATTACTGAACTGACAAAGCCGCACACTGTTGCACTATTTATGTAACCGTATTGTTGCGTACGAGGTGGCCTCAACTAAAAGCCTGATGGTTTCTACAGGTCACCTTGCCTCACATTAAAATATTTATAAACACTGTACATTAAGTAAAAAGGCAAAATAACAGAATGAACGAATGAATCTAGGACCTTAAAATATCAATTCAAGTTTCTAAAAATACATGTAATCACTATCTCTATATCGGGATGTGGAGGCAGTTGAATTGTTGAAAAGACAGTCTTTAAAATATTCCTTGGCAACCGGTAGTCTTTTAATTTCCTTGATGTCTGACCTCTTATTATATCACAGCCATCACTCACCTTTAATTCAACCAGAGAAGAATTATAGGAAATCTTTCCCCTCAGTTTTTGCTTCCCTCTACAATAAAAAGGCAATAAAATTGTTAACAACAATAGTGATAGAGTGGGTTCTCCAAGATTGAGAAATGATTTATTTCCTAGGATTGATAAAGCATTTTTTATATCACTATTAATGCCCCAGGGGCAGAGCACTAGCTTTCTTTTTAAGACCACTTTTGGGGAGTGGGGAGGGGTGTCTTAATTTAGGTCGTAAATCACTTGCAGAAAGTGTATTCCTGGAGGTTGTTGAAGATTGGTACAACAAGTACCAGTGACAAATAATTTGCTGGCAGGATAACTCTAAAAATATGCTTAAGCATAAAATATGATTGTCCTTCATTGATTGCCTTGGCTTACCATCTTGAGAATATATGCAAGGGGGATAACAAAATATTTACATCTGGGTTTTGTCCAAGTTCGGAGACAGCCTTTTCTTGCCCACTAGGGTAGCCCATCACAGAGCAGTATTTGCTTTATCTTTCCTGTTAGTAAAGCTAGCCACATAATAAAGTGCATTATAATGAACAGTTCCAGAGGTTTAGTACAACGTCAGACCTTTGACATGAAAAATTATACCCAAAATGAAAAGTCAACATGCTTCATATTAGGCCTGATGAAAGTAAGACTTCAATGCAAGGAAGAGACAACTAGCAGTTTTAACCAATTATTTTTCTGAAAGACACAGACAATCTAAACTTAAAACTAACTTCAGTAATTTTTTTTTTATGTCTTTACTTACCTCTGGAGAGCATCCTTTAATTTAGAAACATTACTTGTTCCATTTACAATAATGACAGGTCTTGAAAACATCTGAGCCAAGTCAAGCTAGAATGAAAAGAAATAAACCAGATTAAAAGTCACCAAATGCAATCTGAAAGAATATGTGACTATTAAGGAATTTAAAGGATTTAGCAGTTCTCCATTTAACTTTGTACAAGTTTGTAAATATCACAGTGTTTCAAGGAATATTCTGCTTGTAATCCAATCAGAACCGTCTGTTATTTATGGGATAAATAAGAAAGTAATATATTATAATTAAACATGAAAGACTATGTTTGACCACATTTCCAAACACCAAGAGAGTTGGAAATACAACCCATAGCAGGGAATTTTTTAATGAACTTTGAGGTGTTTGGAAATGTGGTCAAACACAGTCTTGAGTGCTTGACATGTCTTCTCATAATAAGACCGCTATTCTCAACATTTAAATTTAATATTTATGCATTGTGTTGTTCCAGAAAACATCCACACCCCTCTTGTGGAGGTTTTTGTTTGGTTTGACACCTCCCCCGATTCCTCTGGAAATTTCAGTTTCAGCTCATACTTCCATTTAAAAAGTTCTAAAAGGCTTTTGAGACCCAGTAATAACTATTATCCTCTGTGGTGTGGGTACAAATATTTTCTCGATTTGCCAAGTAATAGAGGAAAAGAGTTTCTGTAGAAAGAATGGCAAGGGTTTATACAAACCTTTCTAAACACCCAGTGATTCAATGTAAGGATAATTATTGCCGAGGCACCAAGGAACATTGCCTTCTTCACCTTAAACACAACATTTGGAAAATTCAATCTTCACAAAAATTCCATGTTTCATACATCAAAAGACATATACCCTATATCTAACATACCAGGGTTGTCACTATAGTTTTTACATAGGCAGCTTAATTTGTGGGAGTAGGCAGCTGATTCTGCAAAAATTTGATAATTTGACAAGCCCTTATGAGGGTGGTACAGGGGGGTCTCTAGCATGGTTCACGAACGGAAAAAATAGAGGATCATGGATCTTGGATATAAAAATTTCATTTTCCTGAATCATCAAAATAAGCAAGTAAGATACTCTTTTTAATGACCTGTTCTTACACTAGAAACAGTGTTTGAAAAAAGTAAAATTGTGAATGGCTAAGTCAAGGCTCCATATTGCAAATCACATACCTAAGTCACTCTCGATAGACAACTCTAACCATTTGTAGGACTTGCATCTGAAAATCACGTAGAATAGAGCGGTAAAATCACGAATATCGGTAAATAATTCAGGTTCTTCACGGGTCACACAAAACCTTCAGGTCACGAGTCACGAAGAATAATTTCCTAAATTCACGTTTCACAGAAAATAAAATCAGCTAATCACGTATCATGAGAATACCCCTGTACAACCCTCCCTTATGGAACACACACAGCTGGCATAAACATAATTTGAGAGGTTTTTGTTGATGGTCTCATTGATAATGGTGAAGAAGTAGCTTCTTGACCCTTCTTCTAAAAAACATACCACATTCAAGACTAGAGTGCACAAACCATACCATATTTTAGACAAAAATGGCCAAAAGTAATACTCTATTTCAGAACAAAACACCTAAAAAATCCGTACCCTCTGGGGCTCCAAATACTTAGATACCTCCCATATAGGGGAGTACACCCCCTTCCCTCCTGTAGGGACAGCACCAGGAGCTCCTAACAGCACTTATTTTTCAACGTGACTTTAATTTACCTTAGGCTGGAATAGACATCCTAGACCTCTGTTTGACAATATTTTCGCTATGAAACGGCATTTCCTCTTCTGGTACAGTCTATCTCTCTAGGGAGTTCTCTAGGGTCTAGTGGTACACCCCACACCAGTTCCCCTCATTCCTCTCCCAGGGTCTTTCGGGTGCTTTGGTCTCCTAACTTGTGTAGTATATGGTTTTATTTTGACAAAAACGAAAACAGAAAAGTCAGGCACAAACCCTTTCTAAGACAGAACAAGACTTGGAGCCTCGAGCGTTGTAATATTCTAGAACAGGGATGTGTATCACACCAATCCAGTTTTGTGTTTCATCATTCTGAAGTTCATTATCATCCTGATCTGGATCAGAATCTTCTGGTTCACAAGTTTCCATCTAAAACACAAAGTCAGTTCATCAACAATTATTGGTATCGCATATATTTGAGGAACGCCGACATGTTTGCTTTTGTAACATATGCAACTTAACCCTCACTTGTCTATGCATCAAGTTTAATTTTAAAATTATTATATACCATCAATGTTATCCCCTATCACTATGGCTTCGCTTTGGACAGGAATTAGCAGTTCACGACTACATTCAGAGTGTCCTTACCTCCTTTAACTCGCCCTCCACTTGTTTCATAGCGCCAATTCTAGCGAACTTGCCAACCATGTTCGCGAAAGAGCTGTTTTGCCCTTCTTCACTCTGGGTGATGACATCGATAAACGCCTTGTCAACTTCGCCCAAAATCAGCACAGTGAAGCAAAGGACGTGTAAAAAGCAATGCAAAAATCTGGAGAACGAAACTCGTAGCGAAAACATTGCATAAGATGGAAATTTGACGGTAACCAAATTTCAATCCATTTTTTACGCCGCCGATCCGCCGATTGTTATTTTCGTGCAGACTCACAAATAGCCCAGCGGTTTCTCAATGGGCGTGGGCGCGTACGTGGCACGTGTGTTCGCGCGTGTTGGGAGGGATGGAGTCATAAAAGACAACTTTTGCCTATCGGTGACAATATTCGTGCACAATGGTACTAATCTTCGGTGCAAATCAATGGCGCGAATCTTTGTTTCAAAAATACATGCATTTGTTTCAAAAATACGTACATTACAATAATTTTTATGTGAATAAGGATTTAATTAAGACCAATTAAGGCCAGGCANGAGCTGTTTTGCCCTTCTTCACTCTGGGTGATGACATCGATAAACGCCTTGTCAACTTCGCCCAAAATCAACACAGTGAAGCAAAGGACGTGTAAAAAGCAATGCAAAAATCTGGAGAGCGAAACTCGTAGCGAAAACATCACATAAGATGGAAATTTGACGGAAGACAAATTTCAATCCATTTTTCTCGCCGCCGATCTGCCGATTGTTATTTTCGTGCAGACTCAGGAAGTGCCCAGCGGTTTCTCAATGGACGTGGGCGCGTACGTGGCACGTGTGTTCGCGCGTGTTGGGAGGGATGGAGTCAAGAGATTCCAAAGATTGATGTTCTCTATAAACATTAGTAAAAGTCCAGTAATCCAGCGACTAGTCTGTTGTGTAAGCAAGGAGGCTTTATCTCGGTCGAGCACGCAGGCTATTTGGCCATCGAAGATCCTATCTGTCAACCCCGAATAGCCATAAACTCATCTTCAAAAACGATAATATGCTGTTCCAGACCCTAGACCCGGTTTCAATACACACGGGTCAAGTGCTTCGAGAAGCTTTGATCGCAGTTTTACAAAGTGCAGACGGAATTTCGATTTGAGATTAGAGCGGAACCCGCGCAAATGAATAGAATCTCGCTGTTTTTTATTTGCTACCGGAGTCATTGCTGAAGGAATTAAATGATGAGGGGGTTGCAAGGCCGCTTGTGTTCCGCAAAGAAAAGAGGAAGCACTTTTGAGGTGAAAATTAGCTTCATTCATTGCCTGTCTAGTGAGGCAAGCGCGCTCTTGAGCTCAAAAGGCTTCGTATTTCCGGCATGCAAATAAATGTCGCTTCGACAAATCTTGCCGAGAGTACACAGAAGTGACCTATCGACCCCTTCCTTTAGAAACATTGGCGTGTTTAAGAGGAATACTTAAAGCTGTTCAACCCGAGCAAACGATAAAGCAAAGCCTGGATAAATCCGAGGGAACGCACACGCGAAACCAAAACATTCCGCCGCTCGCAAGTCGGAAACCAGCACAATGCGATTAAAAAACTTCAAGGTAATTGATTACAGGCTAGCGAAATACAGTCACGTCCGTCCACATTGAAGCTACTACACATACAAGCGCTCGTGTATTTTTCAAAAATAAACACAATAGATCGCCGTGCCTCCAAATCGCCAAAAACGGAAAGGAAGGAATTAGTCAGAGATAAAAGAATTGCCCTCGATCTTGAGCGCGATCGCGCGATCGAAACCACGAGCAAATTTCTCGTGAAGTGAAATGAACACTTGTAGATTGCGCTCGTACTCAACAAAGGCGAGCAGTATTAACTCGGATCGCGGACAAAAACGGTTTTCTCTCGTGACAGCACTTGAGTGTAATTATAATTATGGCAAGACCAATGCCAGGGCTTTCAATGAAAGCGATCGTTGTACTCATTAAATCGAGCCAACAACAAGTGAAGCGTCGCACTTCAATATGTCATGCATGCGGGGGTTTTTGACCGGCTCTAGGTAAACAAATCGAAAATACTCCCTCGGCAAGATCCCACGCTAAAAAGGAATATTGTCAAAAGTACAACTTCTCCGAAGCGAATTGAGATAAACAAAACCGCAAAAGAGTGGCTGATCGTGGCAGAAATTTGTTCGCCTTCGGTTGGTGTTAAGCCAAAGCCTCCGCTGAACATTTTAAGTAGCAGAAAGCTTACCTCAAGTATGTCCCCTTCGGCGCTCGTGGCAGCTCCTGCGTTTGAAAACTTGCCTTCCAGTTCATAAGTATGCGTTGTGTAATCCCCTCCAGAAGAATGCTCGTAAATCACAACTTCCACAAGAGCTTTCTCGAGCGCGAGTGTCACACTCGGCCACGCGTGAAGAAGCACTAACAGCGGCCAAGCGAGCGCCGAGAAAATTTTCATCGCAAGTCCAGGCAAAATTTACTAGTAACTCTGTGAAGTTTGGTCCAATTCAGCGCTAGAGTCGATTCAGCATTGCCGTGGACGAGCACGGCCGCGTAGCTTGTTATTAAAGTGTTCCTCGACCGCAGGACCGCTTCAGGAGGTGATTCCTTTGGGGGTAGTCGCTGTTTATGGGCACAGTTGAATATTACTCGTGTGCTTTTTGTTATTGTTCCAATGCGCACCGCGCCGCTGCTTCTGCTGCAAGCTGACCGCCACAAGGACCGCCTCTGTCTATCAATCACTTAATCTGTCAAAAAATAATTAAAAAATCATTAATGGTTTGGCCTGGTGGATTAACTTAACTTTTCCCGAATAACAAAGTGCCTCGGACGCCCTCAATCGGCTGACTCGGCTAAATTGGCTGAGCAAATGTGTCTATTACCAACAGCTCACAAGAACCTTCATCCAATGCCTCACTTAACCAGTTGAAAGCGCACCGCTGTTCAACAAAGGGACCGAGTGCGAAATATTAAAACTTGCAAAGGCGGAGCTTGGAAAGCTCTCATTTATCTGCCCTCTTTGTGCGTTTTTTATTGCAATGCTAATTAAATAATCCGAAGAGAACGGAGAGATCGTTCTTGAAAACGGACCGACCGGCTTAGAGCCTTTTACGTTCTGCCGTGTCATTGTGCTGTAAAGTTCCGCAGTGTTTGGTGATTGTTCATCGTCGTTCATTACGCGAGGGAGGTTATTAAAATATCAATGTTTCTCCTAAGCGGATTTTATGCGTTTTACAAAATTTCACTAGCTACCAACCCTGATGAGCTTGTATCCTTTCCTGTTGTTTTCATTTCTAAAAAAAAAATTAAAAAAATCAAACAAAAATGCGTGGAAGGCAAAGTTTCTGTAACTCTCTTTGACCTAAGTTTTTCAGTGCAAGTCTATATGGATATATATATATATATATATATTTTTGCTTGACAATTTACCCATAGAGCCATTTTAATATTTTATGGCTCAGTGTCCTTTGCTGAAAACCGCTCCAATAAAGCTCTGGGAAATATAATTGAGCCAAGCCGCGCGTTGGTGAATAGCCGTCGTTAATTGAAACTTTGTTTCACCGCAATAGCCCTAATAACGACAGGAAAATAACATTATTGCCGACGAAATTAACGTGAACAAGTTCCGACCCGTTCCGAAATTTCAATCCCGCGAATAAGCTGCGCTAAGCGCTCCTGACACGGTGTGTTTCGTTGTTGATTGCAAGTGAAATCGAACCCCGAGGGCCGGAGTGGAAAGAAGTACTATGAAAAATCTTGAATAAACACCGTCGCCGGGAACAGACGATGCACTAAATATTCATTCGGCCAATTTATTGTCTAGCGACTCAAACCAACAGTTTTTAATCGCCCATTTACAGCGCGACATGTGGCACATTAGGTTTTAAAAGAGGCGTGAGGCGCTTTCAGCGCGTATTTTTGCTCGCTCTTCGGTCTGTCGTTGGATAAATTTACGCTCGCTTTCTCGCTCTCAAGTGAGATTTGGACGTCCAACTTCTGTGTAAATACTCTAATCGAGCTCACTCGACATCGGAAAATCGAACCCAAATGTTGGCACTCCGTCACAAGGGAAAAATTCGCGCGGGAATTTATGATGAACATAAAGAAAACAGTTTCAGTAAACAAATTACTTTTAAAAGAGCTTTAAAATGAGTCACCGCAGTTGCGCTCATAAATATGTTGCGCTAAAGTATGACGAGTCCAATTCCTTCATTTGTCGCCCAGTTCAGTTGAACAGGTTTTTAAGAGCGCTAAGTTAATGAAAAAGGCTAATTACGCAGGGTTCGAAATTAAATTTCACACCGCTCTGACACGGAAAGTGGAAGTGGTTCAAGTAACATGGCAGTAAAAAAAATAAGCGAATTCATGCATTTTTAAGTTTATTAATTGCTGAGCGCAGTGGCGACGCCGCGGTGTCTCGAGTTCACAAGCTTTGCGTTTTATCCAATACTGTTCTGTCCATTCCTGTTAGCTCTTCAAAATTGAGCGATTTTGTTTAACAAATTAGTTTGGCAGCTTGGGTGATGTAATGCTCAAAAGGCTGTTTTCAGGGTTTTATGCTACGTGACTTTGTAAAGGAAGTTGCCCGTGAGGTTGAGAAGTCGTGTTACTGCTTTAGATGGTTTCATCGGTTTGGTATATTGGCCTGTTATGGGTCTGTTATCTTGACGCAAGCGGACTCGAGTTACGTTTTCTTTTGTCCGTTTTCCTCCGCAAACACTCAAATGGGCGCACTGAATTAGAAAGTGAAGGAAACTTTATAGCGCCCCAAATAACTCATTATCTTAAGAGAGCGTGTTATCGAATTGATGTGCGCTACAAAGGGCGCCGATATTTGCCCGTTTTGGCTTTCTTCCGATGGATTAAAATAGCGAAGAATTAATAAATTGCCAAGAAAAAGCGAGCTGACTTCAAGGTTGCTTGACCGTGAGGTATTTTCCTCAAAATAACACAGGCACACGTTTGAAATTCTGGATAGTTTTAACAAGGAAAACTGTAGGGAGTTGATCGGCGGGCGAGCGGAATGTTCATCAAAAAGGTGAATGATTTTCCCATAAATTTTTTAAATTGACTATCGTTGCCCAAGTGCTTCCTTTCGGCAGAGCTTGGCTCGTCTAGACCGCCTGATTGCCTTCCTTCGCTAAGCAAACAGTGGAAAGTTTCATACGAATTCGCCGGTTTTGAAATCACTTTGCGGTTTCATCGCCCGAGCTGCGCGCACGAAACATGACGTTGAACGTTTTGTTTGGTCCTTTGACTTGTTATTTCTTTAAACGGTTGTAAGAGCTGTTCAATCGAGCTTATGCAATTTTAATGACCCCAGTTATCATTTGAATTACATTTTGAAAGACCCAATTGCACTCTAAGCCGAAGCGGGCTGTTCTAAATAGAGTCGGTTTGTTTTGTGTTTACTTGGCCATGGGACGTACCTTTGGATTAAATTTGTAGAGTTCTGTTTAGACATAATCTTTTTTTTTTATTCTGAAAAAGAATTGCTCTAAACTGAATATCGC